CATTTAGTCGTAACTATTTTCTAATTTCCCTTGTAATTTTCTCTCCCAACTAAGGGTTATTTAGAAGTTTGTTGTTTGATTTTTCAGAAATATTTGGGGATTTCCCAGATTTTGTTCTGAAATTGCATTATAGTTGAATTTTGTTATTGATAGAGAACATCCTTTTTACCAGTTCTTTTACGTCTTAAAGTTTGTTTTATGGCCCAAAATATGATCTAACTAGGTGAATGTCCCACACGCACTTGAGCAGAATGTATAATACAAAATATTGAGTATTTGCTCCAGTGATTACAATGTATGTAGTGTACTTATGATATCTACTTAAATAGTCATGTTAAATATAGGAAACTTTCCATAGCATAATTTTATTCATTTTGCTATTGTTGTAATATAATATTGTAAATATAATATATTAATATATTACTTCTTTATATATTATAAACCTCACAATTAGGCCAGCACGGTGGCTCATGCCTGTAATCCCAGTACTTTGGGAGGCCGAGGCTGGTGGATCACCTGAGGTCAGGAATTCAAGAGCAGCCTGGCCAACATGGTGAAACCCTGTCTCTACTAAAATTACAAAAGTACAAAGGCGTGGTGGTGCATGCCTGTAATCCCAGCTACTCGGGAGGCTGAGGCAGGAGAATCGCTTGAACCCAGGAGGTGGAGGTTGCAGTGAGCCGAGATTGCGCCACTGCACTCCAGCCTGGATGACAGAGAGAGACTGTCTCAAAAAAAACCCAAAATAAATAAATTTAAAAAATAAAAAATAAACTTCACAATTAAAAATTTTACAATTTTTGCTTTAAATATTTATTTGTCTCCAAAGAAATTAAAAGAAGAAAAGAAGTGTGTATAATTGTATTGAGGGTTCCCAAGACCACTCCAGGTTTGGTGATTGCTAGGTGGCCTCACTAGACTCAGCTTGTAGTCATACTCACAACTGAGATTTATTACGCTGAAAGCATATAAAGTAAAATCAGCAAAGGGAAAAGGATCATGGGACAATGACTAGAGGAAATTAGGCAGAAACTTCCAAGAGTCCTCTCCTAGTAGACTCACTCAGGACCTGCTTAATTCCTTCAGCAGTGAGTTGTGACAGTGTGCACAAAGTGTGGTCTACCAGAGAAGATTACCTGATTCTTAGAGTTCAGGGTTTTTATCGGAGGCTGGTCATGTAGACAAAATTTCAGCCACTGAAATTTCAGACTCTAGAAGCAAGTAAATGTTCAGCATAAACCATATTGTTTCTGCAAATAGTTTAGACACAAAGAGCCATCCTTATAACCTAGTGAAGTTTTAGATCAGTGTAGGGAAGTGTTTACACTTCCAGATGCCAGCAAAAGGTCAACCTTGCAAGCAGGCATTCCTACAGAGAGCAATCTCTGACCTGCTATGTTGACTCTTCTGCACAATAGTCTTTTATATCTATTCACATATTTACCATTTCCAGTAGTTTTTATTCCTTCCTACCGAAGCAAGTTACCCTTTAGTGTTATTGCCATTCCCACGAAGAACTTCCTTTAACATTTCCTGTAGTGTAGGTCTGCTGGTGATGAATTTTCTCAGATTTATCTGAAATGTCTTTGTTTCCTCTTCATTTTTGAAGGGTAGTTTCATTGGATATAGACTTCTGTGTTGAATTTCTTTTTTTTAGCCCTTTACTGTTTATTTCATTGTCTTCTGTTCTTTATTGTTCTTGATAGAAAGTTGGTGCCATTCGTATTTCTCTTTCCTTCCTATATATAATGTTGTATTAATCTGTTCTCACACTGCTATAAAGATACTACCTGAGACTGGGTAGTTTATAAAGGAAAGAGGTTTACAATTCCACATGGGAGGCCTCAGGAAACTTACAATCATGGCGGAAGGTGAAGGAGAAGCAAGGACCTTCTTTACATGGTGGCAGGAGAGAGAAGTGCAAGCAGGGGAAATGCCAGAGGCTTATAAAACCATCAGATCTTGTGAGAACTCACTCACTATCGTGAGAACAGCATGGGAAACACCCCCACGATCCAGTCACCTCCTTCCCTTGACACATGGGTTTACAATTCAAGATGAAATTTGGTTGGGGATGCAGAGCCAAACCATATCAAATGTGTTGTTTTTCTCTCATGCCTTTCAATATTTTATCTTTATTTTTAGATGTCACAAGTTTGCCCATTATGCACCTGGGTGTTGTTTGTTTGTTTTGGGGGACAGAGTCTCACTCTGTTCCCCAGGCTGGAGTGCAGTGGCACGATCCTGGCTCACTAAAACGTCCGCCTCCTGGGTTCAAGTGATTCTCGTGCCTCAGCTTCCCGAGTAGCTGGGATTACAGGCATGAACCACTGTACCCAGCTTGTTTGTTTTTCATCCTGCTTGAGGTTTAGTGAACTTCTTGGATCTATAAGTTGATGTCTTTCACCAAATTTGAATTTTTTTAGCTGTTATTTTTTTCAAATATATACTCCATCTCCTAATTTCTCCTGTCCTTGTAGGACTCTAATGATATATCTGCTAGACTGCTTGGTATCCATTCTCTGAGGCTATGTTTTTTTTTTTGTTTGTTTGTTTGTTTTGTCTTTTTCATTTCTCTTCTTTGGATTGGATAATGTCTAGATCTATCTTCAAGTTCACTGATGCTTCTGCCGTCTCCAATCTTCTTTTAATTCTTTCTAGTGAAAAAAATTTTTTTTTGAGACAAGAGTCTCGCTCTTTCGCTCAGCCTGTAGGGTGATGGTGTAGTCTCGGCTCACTACAACCTCCCTCTCCCGGGTTCAAGCAATTCTCATGCCTCAGCCTCCTGAGTGCTGGGATTGCAGGTGTGCACCACAATACCTGGCTAATTTTTGTATTTTTAGTAGGGACAGGGTCTCACCCTGTTGGGCAGGCTGGTCTGGAACTCCTGAACTCAAGTGAGCCACCCACCTTGGCCTCCCAAAGTGCTGGGATTACAGGCATAAGCCACTATGCCTGGCCCCAATGAATTTTTCATTTTAGTTGTTATACTTTTAAGCTCTAGAATTTCCATTTGGCTCTTTTTTCTTTGGTTCTTTTCATAGTTTCTCTTCTGAGGTTCACTGTCTGCTTACTCATTATGTATATGTTTTCTTTGAAATTCCTGAACACATTTAAGCTGCATTAAAGTAATTGTTTAAATTCAGGTCATCTTAGGGTCTGTTTCTATTCCCTGCTTGTTCCCCCATTGTGGATCTCATTTTCATTTTGTTCTCATCGCTGCTGATTTTTTAATTAAATAATGGACACCATAGATAATACATTGTAAAGTCTCTGGATTCTGTTGTATTTCTCTGAAAAATTTTTTTTTTTTTTTTTTTTTGTAGCTGGCGTTTAACTTAACTGTGTTCAGAATTCCAAAGTCTATCTCCTGTTGTTGGCAACATTTATTCTTTGCTAGGTTTTATCTCATACATATGTAATTTCATTGTCAGCCAAGGAATTTGGTGGTCAGTCAAATATCTGACTGGGTTTCATATGCAGATTTTGGGGTACCTTCTGTGACTTCTTCTCTTGCAAGATTTCATCTCTAACTTCTAATTTTCTGGTGATACAAGTTCTGAACATTTTGCTGTAGCTCCTCAAGCCAGTGAAGCTGTGACCTCCTGCCACTCCAGGAGGCACAGATTGGGTAGTGCTCTCAAACAAAAGTTAGACTTGCACATCTCAGAGATATAATTCCTGTATTCCAAGGGTAGATTCTTCCAGATTCTACCTGTCTTTCTCCCTCCCCCAAATACTGTCAGACAGTATATTTTGTCTGGACTTTGTAATGTGTTATCTGCAGGGAGGTTAGTCATGCAATGGGTTCCTAAAATGTACAATATCCATTTGCTGTGCTCAGACATTTCTGATTTTTTTTTTTTTTTTTTTTTTTTTGAGACAGAGTCTTGCTCTGCCGCCCAGGCTGGAGTGCAATGGCGCAATCTCAGCTCACTGCAAGCTCCACCTCCCGGGTTCTAGCACTTCTCCTGCCTCAGCCTCCCAAGTAGCTGCAACTACAAGCACGCGTCACCACGCCTGGCTAATGTTTTTGTATTTTTAATAGAGACGGGGTTTCACCACGTTAGCCAGAATGGTCTTGATCTCTTGATCTTGTGATCTGCCTTCCTTGGACTCCCAAAGTCCCAAAGTGCTGGAATTATAGGCGTGAGCCACTGTACCCGGCCTCTGATGGTTTTTTAAGGGCCATAAAATAATCTGTTACCTGGAGACAGGTTGGAATAGAATGAGTAAAAGACTGGAGGTAGGGTGTCAGGCCATCGTAGCAGAGCAGGCAATAAGTATTGTGAAAATCTATGACTGTCACTATGTTATGTTAATAGATCAAACATATAGTTGTTTTTTACAAAATATAAAATTTTATTTTCTTGTATAAATCTGCAGAAATAGTATAAAAATGAAAATGTGGTTGTCCATTGCTGGAATTATATGAATGAGATAGTATATAGCTTACTTTTAGTTAAGCTAACACAATTTTTTCTTTCGTACATCAAGAGTTTCATAAAGTGTTGATACTGCGGAGACCTTTCTTGTCTTCTTTTATTCATCCCTGAAAAAATCGTGTAAATGGTAAATGAGAACTGGAGAAAAAATACAAAATGAAAAATTCTTTCATAAATAAATTTTTGTCCTCTTTTAAAGTAATTGAAGATACTTTTGGTCGCTTCCTGTCATTTTCTCGAGACTCAATTTGGCAAAACTAGAATTTATATAAGAAACTACAAATAAGTGACAGAGAACTCTAAAAACTTTTTGGCAACTACTGTATCCATAATGATTTAGTCATGTGACTTGAATTTATGGTACTTACCTTCCAAATGGTAGTGCTTGTTTGGGAGATCTTTGAGGTTCAAGAATGCTGAAACGGTGGAATATGGGCCAGGGAACTTTTTCTCTGGGTGTTACACTTGAAATTTAGTTCATTAATTTTAAGTTTGGATCGCAATGGGTTAATCTCTATGTCTTAAAAAGTTTTCAAATCTGTTCCCTTTTTTCAGGTTATAAATAAAGTTCATCTTAAGGCAAATCATGTGGTCAAGAGAGATGTTGATGAGCATTTAAGAATCAAGACTGTTTATGATAAAAGTGTTGAAGAGTAAGTACACCATTTTATTGTCTTTTTCATTATTAATCTAAATGTTAAATGTATTTTCATCTGTTACCTGAAGTTTTAAAAATTCATAGATAAAACTTAAAAAGGACTAGTGTAGCTTCAGAATTAAGCTGAAAATGCATTTTAGTCTGAAAATATGAAAATATGGGATATGATTAAAGCCTATACATTATGAATAATTTTCTTTTACCATCTCCCTTTCCTGGTAAATCATGAATAATTTAAACAGAACAAATGTGGATCTACTTGGACGTGGACAGTAACAGACCTGGAAGGTACTCTTCAATAAGTACTAGTGTTACGGGAAAGAGGTCCGGTTCAGACTCCAGGAGAGGGTTCTCGGATCTCTCACGAGAAAGAATTAGAAGCAAATCCATACAGTAAAATGAAAGCAAGGTTATTAGAAAAGTAAAGTAATAAAAGAATGGCTACTCCATAGGCAGAGCAGCCCCAAGGCCTGCTGGTTGCCCATTTTTGTGGTTGTTTCTTGATTACATGTGCTACGCCTCTGAGAGGTAATTCTTATGTTTTTATGTCATTATTTTCAGGTTGCTCCCTGAGAAAAAAAATCTTGTAAAGGTATGTAATAAATACTCGTAACTTGAATTGGACACTTAAAATTTTATTGTATGCAAATTCTACTTCAGTAAAGAAAAATATATACGTGACTCTTGTGACTGAATAAAAGGTGTTAGTAGTAAAAGTGTTTATCATTTCACAAAAGGTGTCTTTGTGATGCACTCATGAAAACTTTGTTGGCATTTGGCATTAAATTAATCAGTCTCGTTTTTTTGCTTGCTTTCTCAAGTTTTTGGGGAGCAAATCATGCAGAGAATAGGGTGAAAAAGACAATTTTTGAAACACATTGAGAACACTGTTCTTTTGGTGGAAATGTTTATTTTCCTGAGGATTGATTGACTTGATAACCACATCAGATTTTTAACCGTATGGAGACACACACACCCACACACATACACACATGCACACAGGCACACACGCACGCACACACGCACATGCACGCACACACGCACATGCACGCACGCACACGCACATGCACGCACACACATGCAAACATGCGCGCACACACATGCACACACGCGCACACACACATGTGCACACACACGCACACACACGCACACACCCACGCATATACACGCACGCACACAGGCACACACACATGCACACACACAAAGCCAGCTCACCATGGGCCACAGAAATTGGTGAGTTTAATGAAAGGTAAGATTTTCTTTACATAAACTATCTTACTGTTGGAATCATCTAAGTCAGTCCATCATTGATAGTAATCTAGATTAATAGTTGAGATATATTGCAGTTTTGTTAAAGGTGTAGTATTGAAGGAAGTTAATATTTAATTAAAAATTAAAAACAGTTGAGATAAATGTTTTCTGGCTTTCTATTTAAGTGGGACTAGGGAAAGAAATTTCTGCCTGGTGCTGTTTTCCCAAGCTGAACTAGAAAATGGGGGAAATTCTTTTCCTCCTAGGCTTGCTGTCTTCCTACGCCTTACCATACAACCTTGACTAGTATCTGTATTCCAGAATTATAAGGCTTTTTTCATTAATATGCTGTATTTGCTTGTTTCAAATATAATTTATATCTTCCTTATAATTCTGTTTCTTTTTTTAACTTTTATTTAGAACAAGCTTTTCCCACAAGCTATTTCTTATTTAGAGAAGACTTTTCAGGTCCGTCGACCTGCGGGCACTATCTTACTTAGCAGGTATGCCACATTCAACACAGATGGTTTTCTTCAGCCATTTAGTACTCTGCCTCTCCCTATCTATGAATATGACAAGGTATGAAACTTATACTATAACTTTATTATGCTTGTTCTTAGAGACCAAACTGCAAGGTATTTAAAAAGAATAAAAAAAGTGCCTGCTGGATAATCATTCTTTCCCTGACCTTTCATTGTGCGATGGTCTACTGCATTTTTTCTGGGTGTAGTTGTCCTCTGTTCTCCAGATCACCTTTTCCCCTCGTTCATGTGTATACAGTGTTGGCTTTATGAAGTATTTGGGTGTTTAAAAACACAAATCAAGAGGATTTCCTATAGAACCCGAATTCTTTCTTAACTACTTTCCTAACTAAAATAGTAACATTATTAATGAAGTAATATAGCAGCTACCAGTTGATTACCATGTTTTTAACTGCTATAAAATATTCTCTTTTTTGTATTTAAACTTTGATGTACAAATGAACTGAAGACAATGTGCAACAAACCAATACCTCCGGAAGGAAAACGACCCTCACAGGTACTGCACCGGGGAGTGTGCCGCGCACACGAAATGCGGCCCCGTTGTTGTTCCAGAGGAACATCTCCAGGTATTTCACCCGGCTCTTGGCAGTACTTTTACACTTGAGATTTTGAATTTGTGAGTGTCCCAAAATTTTTACAGATTCAAGTTCAAAGTCTAGTAGCTTCCTTGGTCTACAAAAAGTAATCACAGATGTGCTGATTTTATTCTTTCATTAGCTTTCGAGTGAGTCGAATGGTATTTTCTTTCTTCCCTGCTCCCCAGAGACCTCCCTGCCCCATTTATCTTGGTCTGCTGAATCAGTTTAGCTTAGAACGTTGTCTTGTCTTCCAGAATATCTTTTAGCAAGGCATATACCTCAGTTTTTTAAAGGACAGTCTGACATCTCTTAAGATAAAAAATATGTATGCTTCAAGCCAACCTAGAAGTTTATTCCATAAAATACTAATGGCTATGTAATGTATGTTTAAAGGTGTTCTTTGCAAAACTATAAATATGCCTATTTAGGGTATTAGTTTTGCCTATTAGGGTGTGGTATAACCATGTAGTGGAATACTTTGCAGTTGTTAAAAAGTGAAGGAGATCTCTATGTACTGACTTGGAAAGATATTTAAGCTCTTACATGAAAAAAAAAGGTTGCAAATCAGTATGCACAGTTAGTCCATTTTATTTGAAAGTATAGAAACACAATAAAAAATTATCAAGCAATCTGGAAGTATACACATGTTAAATCTGGATACATATAAAAATGTTAATCGTTTCTTTAAGAGATTGTTGGGGAAAGTGTTTTTCTTTTGTAAGTTCTGGAGATTTTTGTGATGTTCTGATTTCTCATATTGAACATATATTACTTATATCAAAAAAATAAAAAATTTAGGCTGGGCACAGTAACTTACACCTGTAGTCCTAGTACTTTGGGAGGCCAAGGCAGGCAGATTACTTCACTCCAGGAGTTTAAGACCAGCCTTGGCAACATGGTGAAACCCTGTCTCTACAAAAAATATAAAAAGTTAGCCAGGAGTTGTGGTGTGCACCTGTAGTCCCAGCTACTTGGGAGGCTGTGGTGGGAGGATTGCCTGAGCTGGGGATGTGGAGGTTGCAATGAGCTGTGATCTTCTCACTGTACTCCAACCTGGGTGACAGAGTGAGACCCTGTCTCAAAAATAAATAGATAAATAAGAATATCTCAGACTATGCCTAAGCTAAGCTATTGCTTAAAAAAAAAAACTAGAAGGTCGGGCACAATGGCTCCCACCTGTAATCCCAGCACTCAGGGGGCTGAGGCGGGCGGATCACCTGAGGTCAGGAGTTCGAAACCGGCCTGGCCAACATGGCGAAACCCTCTCTCTACTAAAAATACAAAAATTAGCCGGACATGGTGGCGGGTGCCTGTAAACCCAGTTCCTCAGGAGGCTGAGGCAGGAGAAGCTTGAACCCAGGAGGCAGAGGTTGCAGTGAGCCCAGGTCACACCACTGCACTCCAGCCTAGGCGACAGAGCAAGACTTCGACTCTGGCTCAAAACAAAACAAAACTAAAGTAAACTAAACAAATAAATAAGAATACAGCAATATTGTCATTAACCATAGTCACTGTGCTTTACAATAGATCTCTTGAACTTATTTCTTCTAACTATAAACATGTATTCTTTGACCAGCATTTCCTTAGCTCCCACTCCCTAAAGTAATTGATTTTAAAAATCATAAATGCATGTGTTAGAGAAGGAAGAATAAACAATGTGTATTTTCTATTAAATGAAATGAGAATTTGTTGTTTTTTTTCCTCTCTCTACAAGCATTGCTTACACCTTAAAATAATAATTTACTGATTTTTCTGTTTCTAATTTGGAGATTATGATTACTTGGGAATTTTGATAGAAGTAGCTTTCAAAAAAGTGACCATTACAGAGGCAAATAAGATTTGCTGGGCAGGGCGCCATGACTCATGCCTGTAATTCCTTAATCCCTGCACTTTGGGAGGCCAAGATGGGAGGATTGCTTGAGGCCAGGAGTTCGAGACCAGCCTGGTCAATATAGTGAGACCCCGTCTATATATATTTAAGAAATATTTTAGGCCAGGCACAGTGGCTCACGCCTGTAATCTCAGCACTTTGGGAGGCTGAGACAGGCAGATCACAAGTTCAGGAGTTCGAGACCAGCCTGGCCAACATGGTGAAACCCTGTCTCTACTAAAAATATAAAAATTAGCTGGGCATGGTGGTGGGCGCCTGTAATCCCAGCTACTCGGGATGCTGAGGCAGGAGCTGAGCCGAGATCACGTCACTACACTCCAGCCTGGGTGACAGAGTGACTCTGCCTCAAAAAGAAAATGTTTTTAATAATAAAAGATTTGCTTGGAAGATTAGAAACAAGGGGAGATGACTCCTACCCTATATTATTTGAATTTTTAACAAGATGTGAATTACATTATAATAGGAAATATATTTCTATTAGATAAAATTTTTTTTACCATTTAGTTTAGAATTAATTATAGATTCAAAGAAAGTTGCAAAAAAAAAAAAAAGTTTCTTTTAGGGAAATCCCTTCATCTAGTTTCAGAGTTTTAAAACCTTTTATATTTCTGTCTTTTCAGCATCCTGTTTGGTTGGCCTTCCTTTGTCAATACCAATTATTTAATTGAAGTTATAGGTTTATGATCATTTTATGTAAAGTGGACATTTCAGTAAAATAAATTCAGAATTAGAGCTAAGTATTGAGTGGACAGGGAGGTATGGATTTTGATAAAAGTTTAGGGATAATAAAGATTAAATTGTACTGTGTTTATAGTGTAGATTTTACTATAAGATTAAATGCCACTACATCTAACTTTGTGTCTGTTCTGGCTTTCTGATGTCCCCCGTGGGTGCAGCAATGCAGGGTCTACCGCGGTGGTAAGTGGCCTCATCGAGCAGTGGGTGTGCCAGACCAAGAAGGCATCTCAGATGCAGACTTTGTTCTTTACGTTGGTGCTCTGGCCACCGAGAGGTGCAGCCAAGAAAACATCATCTCTTATGCAGCCTATTGTCAGCAGGAAGCAGACATGGACAGGTAAATTTTCCTCTGGGACTTAGTTTCCAAGATCGAATATGGGAACTTTTAAAGCAAACTATTTGTAGTGTTAAGATTACAGGAATCTTGGATTTGCCAGGTTGCCTCTGGTAGACAGGAATAGCATGCTGCCTGGATGTGGAGTGTGGTTAGGAGGCCGTGATTAGACTGTTATTAATGTGATAACCCAAGTTTTTAGTCAAAGTGAAAGAAAAGTGAAGCACTTCGTTTGACTTTTCTCCCTGCGGTTCCTCTTCCAGTTTGAGCCTGTTGTTTTTGCCAAAATTCCAAAGAAAAAGTCTACTGTCAAGTGGGCCAAGTACGGTGGCTCACACCTGGAATCCCAGCTCTTTGGGAGGCTGAGGTGGGAGGATCACTTCAGCCCAGGAGTTTGAGACCAGCTTGGGCAGCATAGTGAGACCTCATCTTGACAAAAAATAAAATTGGCCAGGCATGGAGGCACACACCTGTGGTCCCAGCTATCAGGAGACTGAGGTGGGAGGATTGCTTGAGCCTGAGAGGTTGAGGCTCAGTGAGCTGTGATCATGCCACTGCACTCCAGCCTGGGCAACAGAGAGAAACCTTGTCCCCCACAAAAAAGAAAAAACAAAATGGCTGGGCACAGTGGCTCACACCTGTAATCCCAGCTCTTTGCGAGGCTGAGGCGGGTGGATCACTTGAGCTCAGGAGTTTGAGACCAGTCTGGGCAACGTGGTGAAACTCTGTCTCTACAAGTAAACACACAAAAATTAGCCAGGCGTGGTGGCGTGCGCCTGTAGTCCCAGCTACTCAGGAGGCTGAGATGGGAGGATTGCGTAAGCCTGGGAGGCAGAGGCTGCAGAGAGCTGTGATTGTGCCTCTGTACTCCAGCCTGGGCCACAGAGCCAGACCCTGTGTCCAAAAAACAATAATAATAATAATAATAATAATAATAAGTCCACTGTCAAGAGAATTTTCTTTGCAGGTGACTACCACTCTAAGGAAACAATTTGAACTTTAATTTTAAGACTTATGTGCTAAAACTGTTAAGAAAGGTGTTAATAATGACTATTCATCTAATTGTCGTATCATTTGTTATGTGTAATTCACTTAGCTAAATATCACTTAGAAATTCAGAGTTCTCTTTATTTACAAAAGATTTCAAAAACTTTCCCGTGAAGCAGCTCAGCTTTGAAATGAAAAGTTATATATGCAGAAGATTGCCTGTCACACACCAGACAAGTCAATTAAAGGCAGCAGGAATTGCCATATGTCTCAGAATAGATTCTATGTAACATTCTCAAATCTAGGTGAGATTAGATTTGAGATTAGCTGACTTCAAAGGGAGTCAGCTAGTCTTTTTTTTTTTTTTTTTTTTTTTTTGTGACAGAGTCTCGCTCTGTCACCCAGGCTGGAGTGCAATGGCAGGATCTTGGCCCACTGCAACCTCTGCCTTCTGGGTTCAAGTGATTCTCCTGCCTCAGCTTCCCAAGTATTTAGGACTACAAGTGTGTGCCACTGCACCCAACTAATTTTTGTATTTTTAATAGAGACGGGTTTCACTAAGTTGGCCAGGCTGGTCTCGAACCCCTGACCTCAGGTGATCTGCCTGCCTCGGCCTCCCAGAGTGTTAGGATTACAGGTGTGAGCCACTGTGCCTGGCCTCAGCTCGTGTTTTGACTGATAGATGGATGTTTAACGCCTCAGCAATGGTCCTTTGATACATATGAATTAGTTATACTAGCTTCTCCTAGATTTGTTAGAAGAAAAAGCAGTACCTTCAGGTTTTGTTTTTTTTTTTTTTAGACGGTGTCTCGCTCTGTTGCTCAGGCTGGTGTGCAGTGGCGTAATCTCGGCTCACTGCAAGCTCTGCCTCCTGAGTTCAAGTGATTCTCCTGCCTCAGCCCCCTGAGTAGCTGAGACTACAGGTGTGCGCCACCACGCCTGGCTAATTTTTGTATTTTTAGTAGAGACGAGGTTTTGCCATGTTGGTCAGGCTGGTCTTGAACTCCTGACCTCTGGTGATCCACCTGCCTTGGCCTCCCAAAGTGCTGGAATGACAGTCATGAGCCACTGCGCCTGGCCTTAAGTTCTTCTTTTTCAAGAAAGTGAAACCTTCCTTCACAATTGCTATATTGCGTTAATTCATTTCGTGAATATTTGAGTGGCCAACAGACGAGGTAAACAAAATACAGATGTGTACCTGCCTCATGGAACTTATGGATTGCAGAGGGAGACAGGTATTAAATGTTCCTGCAAATAAATATGTGATTTCAAAGTATGATAAATACTTCGTAGAAAATAAATAGAGTGTTGTAACGTAGAGGAGAATAAAAGAGAAACACCTTGTGGATCTATTGAGCAAGGAAGACCGCTTTGAAAAAGTGAAACGTTAGCTGAACATTGATAGGCTGTCGCCAAATACAGAGATGTGGGGAGAGCTCGTGAAGGCAGAAGCCATGTGCGCCTGTTGCTTCAGGAGCCCCCTCAGTGGACACTGTTGGGGGACAGGTGCTTGGACAGGCAGACAGGATTGTTTTCTTCTAAGTGCTGTAGGAAGCCCCTGAAGGGTTTTAAGCCTGGAAGCGAAATCCATTTTATATTTTAGAGGTCACTGTGGCAATTTTTAAATAAATGAATTGTATTCATACTTTCTCTAATTCTAAGTCTATTGCTATTTCCTATGAAGAAAATATACAATATTTAACAATTTAAATAAGATAAATGTACTTTGTAAATAGGCAGTTATACTTTGATGAGCTTTGTGGTATTTCTATGTAAAATGTTAAGACAGTGGTAGGAGAACTGAGCTTGGGGTTCGTCAGCAATGTTCATTGGCCACAGCTTTGGAAAGACAGGGAGGCGCATGGTGGAACTGAATTACTCTGGACTCTTGAGTCCTAGTCTGCCTTTGGACTTTCAGGTTCTAGGCACAGAGAGAGATGCAGAAGTGTGTAGATTCTAAAGGATGTAGAATTTGGAAGAAGGCGATGGGAAGGTAGAAATATTTATGTGAATGTAGGCAGTGTTGGAGCAGGAGAAAGGGAATAGCAAACAGATAAGAAGGGTCAGCGACTTTCAGCAACTTAAACCATTCACTTATTGCCCCATTTGATAACTGTTTTCCTCTCTACCTGCTTGTCTCTGTGCCCATAGATATACTGAAATGCTGAAATCAAATATGGATTTTGCAAGTAAAATAGTGTTGGAATTTGAGCCTTTCAGTTCATTCTTTTTTGGGTATTATATTGATATATTTCAAAAATTCGCATTAAAGTATAGTCATCTGTGTCCTTTTGTGGAAACAGGTATTGATTTGCCATGCCATAGGAGGGCACAGGATACATGTCTTAAAAGTAAAAGATAGTGATGGTACAAAATTACATTTGATATTTTGTGAAGATTTTTCTGTCCTTGAGCAGTATTTGATGGAGAAGTAAATGTTAATAAATATTGTTCTGGAATATAATTTAAAAATTCAATGTCTATTTTGACAGGCCAATAGCAGGATATGCTAACCTGTGTCCAAATATGATCTCTACCCAGCCTCAGGAGTTTATTGGGATGCTGTCCACAGTGAAACATGAGGTTATTCATGCCCTGGTAAATTCTACCGTTACTGTTCTTTCCTTCATGCCCTGATTTTCTGCTTAGTATGTTCTCATTTTTATACATATATTCCATTTTAAGATGATGTAGATTCCTAGGTTCATGTTCAATAAAAATACAAAAATTAGCAGGGCATGGTGGTGTGCACCTGTGGTACCAGCTACTTGGGAGGCTGAGGTGGGAGGATGGCTTGAGCCCAGGGAGCTTGAGGTTGCAGTGAGCCAAGATTGTGCCACTGCACTCCAGCCTGGTGATAGAGGCAGACCTTGTATCAAACAAACAAACAGAAAGATTTATAAAGCTTTTTCCTCTTTTAAAATTCTAAGATTGAAGAATTAACGATACTGAAAGGCCTATGAAAGTATATAGATATGGCAGAGCCCTGGGCTGCTGCCACCGTTTTTTGTTTGTTTTTTAAGACCCCATCATGGCCCACTGTAGCCTCAACCTTCTGGGCTCAAGTGATCCCACCTCAGCCTCCCAGGTAGCTAAGACTGCAGACGTGCACTACACTCGGCTAATTTTTTTTTTTTTTTTTTTTGGGGAAAGAATTGTTTTTTTTTTTTTCTCCCCCGGAGGCTGGTCTCAAACTCCTGTGCTCAAATGATCCTCCCACCTCAGCCTCCAGAGTAGCTGGGACCACAGGCACGCACCACCATGCCCTGCTAATTTTTGTATTTTTAGTAGAGATGGGGTCTCGCCATGTTGCCCAGGCAGGTCTTGAACTCCTGGGCTCAAGTGATGCCCCCACCTCAGCCTCCCAAAGTGCTGGGATTACAGGTGTGAGCCACTGCGCCTGGCCCTTCAGCTGCTGCTTCTGATAACCGTGGGAATATCCTTATAGGGAGGCAGTAGTAATGACTACCACTTCCTCAAATTAAAGGAAAGGAAATAGTCAGCTAAATACTTTTTTACATGTATATTTGAACACATACGAATGTTTATCTTCCTAGTAATTTTTAATTAAATTTATCTGTTGTAGGCAAGTGTCAGTCTTGGCCATGCATCTCAGTGTACTGCTTCCATCTTTTCAGCTCTGGTCCAGCTCTTGTTCGAAATTGACACCTGATAGCTGATACCTTCTCAAAAAAGGAAGAAGGGCCGGGCGCAGTGGCTCTCGCCTGTAATCCTAGCGCTTTGGGAGGATTCTTCTATATATATAAGAAGGCCAAAATAACTTTAAAATGCAGACTGACTTTGAGAACCACTTCATAATGTACGCACACACACACCCACACAGCAGACAGGAATTAAAAACACAGCAGTTGCTGCTCTTTATGGTTTTAAAACTCTAATGGTGCCTGGAAATATAATTATAGGACAGTAATTGATGTTTATAGTATTTATACTGAATATAAGTGTAAAATATATAATGTGTTTTAGAAAATGTCTCGTTGGAGGCCGGGCGCGGTGGCTCAAGCCTGTAATCCAGCACTTTGGGAGGCCGAGACGGGTGGATCACGAGGTCAGGAGATCGAGACCCATCCTGGCTAACACGGTGAAACCCCGTCTCTACTAAAAAACAAAAAATTAGCCGGGCGAGGTGGCGGGCGCCTGTAGTTCCAGCTACTCGGGAGGCTGAGGCAGGAGAATGGCGGAACCCGGGGGGCGGAGCTTGCAGTTGAGCCGAGATCGGCCACCGCACTCCAGCCTGGGCATAGAGCTGAACTCCCCGTCCTCAAAAAAAAAAAAAAAAAAAAGAAAATTTCTCGTTAGAAATATTTACCTCAAGTAATTAGAATTTAAAATTTATAAATATGGAACACTAAATTGTTGTTCAATTCCAACATATGAGAAATTCCAACGGAAGCACTAGTGTGGGGCTTCTATGAACCAGTTAGTGTCAGTGCTCTCCTTTGATCTCAGGCCTGTAATCAGCCTTGACATTTTTTCACTTGAAGACATTTTGAACTTTTTCTTATAGGGTTTCTCTGCTGGGCTGTTTGCATTCTACCATGACAAAGATGGAAATCCTCTCACTTCAAGATTTGCGGACGGCCTCCCACCTTTTAATTATAGGTATTTTTGTTGTTGTTGTTCTTGCTTTCCTCTTTTAGGAGGGTGCTAAGACTAGAATCTGAGAATCACAGCATATTAGATGCCATAAATAATAATGTCTTCATGGCAAACCTAAGGAAATTGTAGATATTAAAACAACATAGGATATAAGAGGCCATTTTATGGAAAACATAACTTGTGAGATAGGCAATATTACATAATGGTGTAAGTAAGGAGGAGAGAGATACCCACACACAAGGACCATTCTGAAGCTGATAATTTGCAGTGCCTGCTTGCATTGAGGATATTCCTCAAAAGCATCATACCTTCCAGCCAGGCACGATGACTCATGGCTGTAATCCCAGCACTTTGGGAGGCCAAGGTGGGCTGATTGCTTGAGCCCATGAGTTCAAAACCTGCTGGGCAGCATGGCAAAACCCTGTCTCTACAAAAAAATACAAAAATTAGCCGGGCATGGTTGCTTGCGCCTGTGGTCCCAGCTACTTGGGGTGCTGAGATAGAAGGATCAGTTGAGCTCAGGAGGTTGAGGCTGCCGTGTGCTGTGATCATGCATCTGCACTCCAGCCTGGGTGACAGAGCAAGACTGTCTCCAGGAAAAAAAAGAGAAGCCTTCCAGTAAAAATGAAGATAATGGAGTAATACATTCAGTTGTTACAGATGTAAAGAATTGGATTTGGCTTTAACTGTATTTGGGGAAACTGTTAATCTTGAAGTATGAATGGTAAAGAGAGATTGGAGTGATTAATAAGGTAAAAGCTGTTTATTTTATTTTTTATTTTTTGAGACGGAGTCTCGCTCTGTCGCCCAGGCTGGAGTGCAGTGGCGGATCTCAGCTCACTGCAAGCTCCGCCTCCCGGGTTCCCGCCATTCTCCTGCCTCAGCCTCCCGAGTAGCTGGGACTACAGGCACCGCCACCGTGCCCGGCTAATTTTTTGTATTTTAGTAGAGACGGGGTTTCACCGTGTTGGCCAGGATGGTCTCGATCTCTTGACCTCGTGATCCGCCCATCTCGGCCTCCCAAAGTGCTGGAATTACAGGCTTGAGCCACCGCGCCCGGCCAGAGCTGTTTATTTTCTGGCTGGCTTTGTTCACTGCTTATGTGTAAACATTGCCTTGCCATGGAAAAACAGGAATTAAAAATAATTTCTCTAAGGCATGGGTACATGAACAGACACGTGATAACAAATACAACAAAATGTTAATTACAGAATCTAGGTGAGCTGGTTATTGATTATAAGGGTGTTTATTAAACAATTCTTTTAATGTTTTGCATGTTTGAATTTTTTTTTTTTTTTGAGACAGAGTCTTGCTCTGTCGCCCAGGCTGGAATGCTGTGGCGCGATCTCCGCTCACTGCAAGCTCCGCCTCCTGGGTACACGCCATTCTCCTGCCTCAGCCTCCCCAGTAGCTTGGATTACAGGCGCCCGCCACCTCGCCTGGCTAACTTTTGTATTTTTAGTAGAGACAGGGTTTCACCATGTTGGCCAGGCTGGTCTCAAACTCCTGACCTCAGGTGATCTGCTGACCTCAGGTGATTCGCCTGCCTCAGCCTCCCAAAGTGCTGGGATTACAGGCATGAGCCACCACACCTGGCCTATGTTTGAAATTTTTATGAAACAGTATTGGAAAAGAAAACCGTCTTTATGTTTTCTGTTGTTTTGCTGAGAATGAGAAATTTATAGGGAAAATGGTAGAAGTAGTCTAGGGAATAAGCCAGGAAAAAAAATGACTTAGGTTACAGGGAAAAATAAAAATTGATGTCCATTGTAATTTTCTATAATAGATAAATATGTTACTTTTGTAGCAGTGCTTTTATGTATGCAGGATAGATTTCCCAAACTGGGATTGCCGATTTAAAATCTGTTTACACTATAAATTTTAATAGAAACTGCCATGTTACATTTTTTTTTTTTAAAAAAGGTATAGCAAAGCACATTCCCACCAGATGTGTATGAGTGCTCTTGTTAATCAGTATTGGATATTATAGATCTTTTTTATTTTTTAAGCCCAATTTGATGGATTAAAAGATGGTATCTCATTGTTGTATTTCCAGGACTATAGTGTGGTTTTAGCCATTGGCATTTTCTCTTTGTACACTGCCTATTTATTTTCCTTGTCCAGTCTTTTAGGTTAATTTTCCCTTTCTAATCACGTTGTAGAAGTTCTTTATAAATTAGAGATATTGCTCCTTTTTCATGCTTATTATAAATATTTCTCCTGGTTGTTTATTTTTTTACTTCATTTATCATACTTTTGCCATGTATAGAAAAGTTTTTAAGTTTTTTATCATTAAATTTATCTTTTTTTTTTTTTTTTTGAGATAGAGTCTCACTATATTGCCCAGGCTGGTCTCGAACTCCTGGGCTCAGGCAAGCTTCCTGCCTCAGTCTCTCAAGCAGCTTGGACTACAGTCACGTGCCACTGTACCCAGATGTTTTTTTCTTTGTTGCTTAAGGCCTCAAAAGATTGTAAAAATAGTCTCCTAAATTTATTCCAGTACATTATTATTTGATTTATTTACATTTATAGCTTCAATGCATTTGAAAATTTTTTTGATTTATGTATTTTGGGATTCTTTTGTAAGGTGCATATATGTTTATAATTGTTATATCTTTATGCTGGATTTAACCTTTTTTTTTTTTTTTGAGGCAGGGAGGGTCTCACTCTGTTGCCCCGGCTCAGTGCAGTGGCACAATCACGATCATGGCTTACTGCAGTGTTGATCTTCCCAGGCTCAGGTGATCTTCCCACCTCAGCCTCCTGAGTAGCTGGGACTACGGGAGTGTGCCACCATGCTCATCTAGTTTTTTATTTTTATTTTAAATTTATTTTACTATTATTTTTTGAGACGGAGTCTCACTCTGTTACCCAGGCTGGAGTGCAGCGGCGTGATCTCGGCTCACTGCAACCTCCACTTCCCAGGTTCAAGCGATTCTCCTGCCTCAGCCTCCTGAGTAGCTGGGATTATAGGCATGTGCCACCACACCTGGCTAATTTTTGTGTTTTTAGTAGAGATGGAATTTCACCATGTTTGCCAGGTTTGGTCTCATACTCCTGACCTCTAGCGATTTGCCTCCCAAAGTGCTGGGATTACAGGTGTGAGCCACTGCGCCTGGCCTATGTAGTATATCTTTTTATCCTTTTACTTTCCAGCTATTTGTGTTCTTTAGTCTAAACTATATCTCTTGTAGATGTATAGTTAGAGCATGTTTTTAAATTCATTTTCCCAATTAACCCTGTTCTGCCTGCTACAGTGGCTGTCAGGTTACTGGTTTTCACCATGAGTGTGGGCTGTCGGTTTTCAAGGCTGCCCCAAAGCTGGAGAGCGGGCATGGAAACGCACTGCACTGCTCCTATTTCTACAGAGATTCGTCCATTTTTCATGAATAAATGCTTTCTGCATTGCTATAAATCTTTGATTAATTTCCAAAGTTTAAAAAGTTGACTTCACCAATTTGGGTAGTTTTCTCATTGCTTTCATAGAGGAGAGAAATTTGAGAGATTTTTACTCTGTCATTTTTGCTTATATCTTTCTGGAATTTATTTTTGTATGTGGTGAAAAAGGGATTTAACCTTTTTTTTTCTAAATGAATAATCAGCTTCACAGCACAGTTATTAGATACATTCTACTTTCCCACTAAATTAATATGGCATTTTGTTGGTTATGTTTCCTTATATCCTTGGATATCTGTGAACTTGCTTTCATTTTATCCTGTATGCTTGTCAAAAGGAAGTAATTCGTCATCTTAGCCAAGTGCTAGCTATGTGAACTTGAACAAGTTACTTCATCTCCCTGAACTTTTGTCTCTTTATCTGCAGAATAGTGATGAAAATCTCATAGGGTTGTTGAAAAGATGAAATTTGAAAATACTTATCAAGGGTAGGCCCAGTGGCTCACACCTGTAATCCCAGAGCTTTGAACGGCTGAGGTGGAAAGATGGCTTGAGGCCAGGAATTCGAGGCCAGCTTTGGCAACATAGCAGACCTTGTCTCAACAAAAAATAAAAAATAAATTGAAAAAAATGTTTTGGACTGGATTTCATTGTCACCCAGGCTGGAGTGTAGCCATATGAACATAGCTCACTGCAGCTTTGAACTCCTGAGCTCAAGTGATCCTCTTGCCTCAGCCTCGTGAGTATCTGGGACTACAGGCATACACTACCATGCCTGGATTATTTTATTTTATTTTATTTATTTTGTTTTTGAGACAGGGTCTTGCTCTGTCACTTCATCTGGAGTGCAGTGGCACGAACATGGCTCACTGCACCGTCAACCTCCTGGGCTCAAGTGATTCTCTGACCTCAGCCTCCTGTGTAGCTGGGACCACAGGCCTGCACTACTGCGCCCAGCTAATTTTTAAATTTTTTGTAGAGACAAGGTCTTCCGGTGTTGCCTAGGCTGGTATCAAACTCCTGGGCTCAAGCAATCTTCTCACCTTGGCCTGCTGAGGTGCTGGGATTACGGTGTGAGCCACTGCACCCAACCAAAAAATTAAATTAAAAAAAATGTAGAAAGGAAAATACTTATCAAGTACTTTGCTTGGACTTGGTACATAGGAGGTTCTCAAATATTTTAATTTCATATTGATATTTATAAAGACTTTTTACAGTAAATGTAAATATTTTTACATTTAAAATGGTGAATTTTCAATAATAATTGTGTTTTAATTCTGTAATTACAGTCTTGGATTATATCAATGGAGTGATAAAGTAGTTCGGAAAGTGGAGAGATTATGGGATGTTCGAGATAATAAGATAGTTCGTCACACCGTGTATCTCCTGGTAACACCTCGTGTTGTTGTAAGTATTACCAAACTTCACGTCTCATGAGCCATCTGTTCTTTTCCTTTACTGTGGTCCTTTCTTTACTCATCATTGTTGTTTAAGAACTTATAATATTTCAGAGCCTATAGTAGGAAAAGTCATATAAAGGCTGTGCAATAAAGCTACGGGCCACGAGAAATCTGAGGAAATGGAAACTTGTCAATGGTTCTCACGGCGCCTATCCCACCCAGTGCTTTAGGCCAGTGCCTCCTCTGTTGTGATGTCTCTTAGGACCACTGGTACTATTTCTATAATGACTGATCGTTTTCTTTGGAGTCTGTATTAGTCAAGGTTCTCCAGAGAAACAGAACCAATAGGATGTGTGTATATATCATATATGTATACACAGAGAAAGAATATGAGAGAGGAGGGAAGGAAGAGATTTCTTTTTTTCTTTTTTTTTTTTTTGAGACAGGGTCTCACTCTGTCACCCAGGCTGGAGTGTAGTGTTTTCGGCTCACTGCAACCTTTGTCTCCTGTGCCAAAGTGATCCTCCTACTTCTGCCTCCCAAGTGGCTGAGACTACAGGCACGCACCACCATACACAGCTAATTTTGTTTAATTTTTTTGTAGTGATGAGGTCTCACTATGTTGCCCAGGCTGGTGTCGATCTCCTGGGCTCAAGTAGTCCTCCTGCCTCAGCCTCCGAAAGTGCTGGGATTACAGCCATGAGTCACCACACTTGGCCAAGAGATGACTTTCAAGGATTTGGCTCACATGACTGTGGAAGCTTGGCGAGTTCAAATCTGATGGGATAGGCTAGCAGGCTGGAGACTCAGGGGAGAGTTGCCCTTGGAGTCCAAAGGCAGAATGACTTCTTGTTCAGGGGAGGTGGGTCTTTGTTCTCCTCCGACCTTCGCCTGGTTGGGTGAGGCCTACCCACATTATGGAAGGTGATCTTTTCTTCAGAGGCCACTGATTGCAATGTTACTCTCATTCAAGAAAACACCTTCACAGAAACATCCGGAATATCTGGGCCAAATATTTGGGTACCATGGCTATTCTCCTTTCCCCTTTTCCTTGACTTTGTACAGCTCTCTGACTTATAAAGTTTTGCACTGCTCTTGGGCTATTTCCCATCTCTGGAAATCTCTAACTAAAGGACAGATAGAACCCAGTGAGCAAGGTTTTATTCTACTAAGCAACTTTTTTTTTTTTTTTGAGACAGTTTCCCTCTTGTCGCCCAGGCTGGAGTGCAGTGGCACGAGCTCGGCTCACTGCAACCTCTGCCTCCTGGGTTCAAGTGATTCTCCTGCCTCAGCCTCCCGAGTAGCTGGAATTACAGGCGCCCGCCACCATGCCTGGCTAATTTTTGTATTTTTAGTAGAGACGGGGTTTTACCATGTTGGTCAGAGTGAGACCCTGTCTCAAAAAAAAAAAAAATAAAAAAAAAAGAAAGAAAAGAAAAAAGGAAATTTCATCCTCCCCTCATCTCATATTCATTCTTTGTCTGTGTGTACATATATGTAGATGTATACACACATCCTATTGGTTCTGTTTCTCTGGAGAACCTTGACTAATACAGACTCCAAATGATCAGTCATTATAGAAATAGTACCACTAATCCTAAGATGTATCACAACAGAGGGAGCACTGGTGACCTCAGGTGATCTGTCTGCCTCAGCCTCCTGAAGTGCTGTGATTACAGGTGTGAGCCACTGTGCCTGGCCAGAATAGATTTTTTGAACAGCTAAAAGTGACAAACCTTTAGTTAGACTAAGAAGATGCAAATAACATAAGAAATGAAAGAGGAGACATTACAGCTGAAACCACAGACACACAAAGGATCATGAGAGACTATTATAAACAATTATATACCAACAAACTGTATAACCTAGAATAAATGAACAAATTCCTAGACAAATACAACTTATGAAGACTGAATCATGAAGAAATAAAAAATCTGAACAGACCAATAATGAGTAATGAGATTGAATCAGTAATAAAAGTCTGCCATCAAAGAGAAGCCCAGGACCAAGTTCACTGCTGAATTTCACTAAATGTTTAAAGAAGAACTAATAATCCAGTCCTTCTCAAACTTTTCCAAAAAATTGAGGAGGAGGGATTACTTCCAGACTCTTTTTACCAGGGCAGCAATACTCTAATAACAAATTTAGACAAGGCAATAAGAAAAGAAAATTACAGGCTAATATTCTTGATGAGCATAAGTACAAAAATTTTGCAACAAGATACTAACAAGCTGAATTCTACAACACGTTAAATAGGTCATCCATCATGATCGAGTGAAATTTATCCCCAGTGTGCAAGGATGGCTGAACATAGCAAATCAGTAACTGACGGAATGAAGGACAAAAACCATATGATCATCTCAATAGATGCAAAAAAATCATTTCACAAAATTCAGCATCTTTTTATGATTAAAAACTAACCAAATTAGGTCCAAAAGGAAGGTACCTCAGCACAATAAAGGCCATATAAGAGACACCCACAACAAACCTTATACTTATTAGTGAAAAATGGAAAGCCTTTCCTCCAAGATCTGGAACACTCCTACCACTTCTGCATAGTATTGGAAATCATCGCAAGAGCAGTCAGGCCATAGAAATAAATGAAAGGCATCCAAATAGGACTGGAAGAAGTGAAATAGTTGCTGTTTGCTGATGACGTGATCTTATATATAGAAAACCCTAGAGACTCCATCAAAAAATTGTGAGGATTAATAAATACAGTAAAAGTTGCAGGATACAAAATCAACACACAAAAATTAGTAGTTTTCTATATACTAACAGAAAACTACCTGAAAAAGAAATCAAGAAAACAGTCTCATTTACCATAGCTACCCCCCACAAAAAAAACCCCAAAATTCTTAGGAATAAATTTAACTGGGGAAGTAAAAGACCTGTACACTGAAAACTAGATGAAATAAATTGACACAATAAATATAAAGGTATCCTGTGTTCATGGCGTAGAAGAATTAGTATTGTTAAAATGTCCATGCTACCCAAAACAGTCTACAGGTTCATTGCTATCCCTATCAAAATTCCAATGTCATTTTTCATAGAAGTAGAAAAAAAATCCTCAAATTCATATGGAACCACAAAAACACCGAAAAGAAAAAAAAAATAAAGCAATCGTGAGCAAAAAGAACAAAGCTGTTCAGGCAGTGTGATGCCTCCAGCTTTGCAGTATTTCAGACTGTACTGCAAAGGAATGGCAATTGGTCAACTGGCAAAGGAATGTTATGGTCCTGGCATAAAAATAGGCACATTGATGAATGGAACAGAATACATTATGATTATTGACTTGATTATGATTAACCAATTATGGTTAATTGATGTTTAATAAAGGTGCTAAGAATACACAATGGGAAAATGTCTCTTCAATAAATGGTATAGGGAAAACTGGATGTCCATATGCAGAAAAATGAAATTTGACCTTTATCTCACACCATATACAAAAACCAACTCCAAATATATTAAATAAACTTAAGACCAGAAACTGTAAAACTAGTGGAAGAAAACATAAGGGGACGACTATATGACATTGGTTTGGGCAATGAGTTTTTGGATTGGACCCTAAAAGTACAGGCAACAAAAATAAAAGTGGACAAATGGGATTACATCAAACAAAGAAGCCTCTGCTCAGCAAAGGAAACAAAAGTGTGAAGAGACAACCTAGAAATTGAGAGAAAATATTTGCAAGCTATACATTAGAAAAGGCGTTAATATACAAGAAATGCAAACAGCTGTGTAAGAATAGCCCATTTAAACAATGGGCCAAGGACGTGAATAGACATTTCTCAAAAGAAGACATGCAAATTGTAAGCAGGTACATGAAAAAATGCTCAACATTACTAATCCTTAGGGAAATGAAAATTAAAAGCACAATGAGATGTCATTTTATGCCTGTCAGATGACTGTTATCAAAAAGACAAAAGAAAGCTCGCTTTGGCAGCACAAAAACTAAAATTGGAGTGATACAGAGAAGATTAGCATGGCCCCAGTGCAAGGATGACATGCAAATTCATGAAGTATTCCATATTTTAAAAAGAAAAAAAAGATAAGAAGTGTTGGTGAGGATGTGGAGATAGTATAATTTTGTACAGCCATTACGGAAAACTGTAAGTTCTTCAAAAAACTAAAAATAGAATTACCATATGATCCAACAGTCCTTGTTCCATATTTACACAAAAGATTTGAAACCAGTTTGTTGAAGAGATGTTTGCACTCCTGTGTTCAGTGCAGCACTATTTACAGTAGCCACATTACGGAATCAGCCTAAGCGTCCATCAGCAGATGAATGACTAAAGAAAGTGTATTTTATACAATTGACCCTTGAACAACATAGGTTGGAACTGCTCAGGTCCACTTATCTGTGGACTTTCTGCCACCTCTGCCACCCCTTAGACAGCAGGACCAACCCCTCTTCATCCTCCTCAACATGAAGACAAGGATGAAAACCTTTATGAGGACCGACTCCACTTAATGAATAGTGAATATATTCATTTTATTTTCTCTAGCTTTATTGTAAGAATACAGTACATAATACATAAAATATACAATATATGTGTGAATTGACTGTGCAGTTATTGGTGAGGCTTCTAGTCCACAGAAGGCTATTAATAGTTAAGTTACGGAGAAATCAAGTTATACACAGATACCGGCGGACTGCACAGGAAGTTGACACCACTAACACAATGTATTCAGCCTTAAAAAGGCAGGAAATTTTGTCATTTGTAACAATATGGGTGAAACTGGAGAACACGGTGCTAAAAAAGGAACAGAAAGACAAATACCTAATGTTTTCACATTTCCTATGTGACATCTAAAACTATTGAACTCCGAGGCAGAGGGTAGTGGTTATGGAGGCTGGGGTGGGGAAAATGGTGATGGCCAAAGAGTGCAAAATCACAGACGGGAGTAACACTTTTTTTTTCTTTTTTTTTGAGATCTATTGCACAGCGTGGTGAATATGGTTAATAATAGTGTATTGCACAGTTTTAAATTACTGAGAGTAAATTTAAAATATTCTCACAAAAAATAAGTATTTGAAATGATGGCTGTATTAGCTTGATGTAATTATTTCACATTGTATTCATAAATCATAACATCACTCTGTTCTCCATAAATATATAGTTGTAACTTGTCAATTTAAAATAAAATAAAAAATTTTAAATTGTTATTGACATGAGTTACAACTGTCAATCATCCTAGTCTATAACATTTTTTCACTATATGGTACGAAAGTGAAAATCTTCAGAGAGAAGAAAAGATGCTAAGAGAAGTAGTAATTTCCTAGCAAAGAAGAGTGTGACTGCATCAAAATATTTAATTATATTAAAAACCATATTTTAAAAAGAAATTCTCTTTTCTCAACGAAGTAAGTCTTTAATGTTAACTTATTGTATTCATGTGATGAAAAGTTTGCCACCATCTTAACAGTGCTTTTGTACCATATTTGTTTCCGATTTTTTTTCTGGTTCTTAGGAGGAAGCACGAAAACATTTTGATTGTCCAGTTCTGGAGGGAATGGAACTTGAAAATCAAGGTGGTATGGGTACTGAGCTCAACCATTGGGAAAAAAGGTTATTAGAGGTCAGTTTGTTTTTAAATTTTACTAGACTTTATTTAATGAAAATAATTCATAATTATGGTAAAAGTTATTCAAACAGGTTATAAACTGAAAAATGTTTAGGTCCCTTTACCCCTTCAGCTCTCCAGATGCACTTTCCAGGTATAATCACTCTTTACATTTTTTGTATATACTTTCATAAATGTTATGTATGTATGTGCAAACACATGCAGAATTGTTTATTTTTTAATGGGTTCACATATTTATGCAACTTTTTCACTTTTTCCAAGGCACTATAGGTGCTTCTGCTATAATGCAATGTATGCTTTCCTGAAAAACCTTTTTCTTCAAAATTGGACATGAAAAATAACAAGACTTGTAGGAAAAACAAGTAAACAGATCAATAACAGCAACAAATAAGTCATGTAGAACTCTGAGCTCAGTTTTAAAAAGACATTAGATTTTCAATAAATGAAGTCCTGTATCTACTCTAGTATTTTTTTAATTAAAATTTTTATATTTTTTAGAGACAGGGCCTCACTGTGTCATCCAGGCTGGAGTGCTGCAGCTGTTCACATGTGTGATCATAGCACACTACAGCCTCGAACTCTTTTGGGCTCAAGCAGTCCTCCTGCCTCAGCCTCCCAAGTAGCTGGGACCACAGGCACACACCACTGCACCCAGCCTGCTCTAGTCTGTGTGTCTCTTTTTCTTTCTCTCTCTTTTCCTTCCTTCCCTCCCTTCCTTTCTTCCTTTCTTCCTTCCTTCCTTCCTTCCTTCCTTCCTTCCTTCCTTCCCCTTTCTTTCCTTTTCCTTTTCTTTTTCCTTTCTTTCCTTTCTTCTCTTTCTTTCTGTCTTACTTCACTTGTCCAGGCTAGAGTACAGTGGCATGATTTCAGTTCACTGCAGCCTCAACCGCCTGGGCTCAAATGGTTCTCCCACCTCAGCCTCCTGGGTAGCTAGGAATACAGGCATGTGCCACCACACCCAGCTAATTTTCTTTTTGTACTTTGAGTAGAGATGGTTTGACCATGTTGCCCAGGCTGACCCCAAACTCATGGACTCAAGCAGTTCACCCGCCTCAGCGGCCCGAAGTGTGGGGTTAGAGGCGTGCACGTCCGTGCCTGGCTACTCTAGCATTTCTTTACCTTCAGCATCAGCAGTAATAATAACCCATGGTAGCTGCATGGGGGATTGTAAATCTGAGTATTGAGGACGGGGTAAAATGTACATAGACTTGTGAGAATCATACAGTAAACATTTGCACGCAGAGTCGCTGGCTACACCGAGCAACACATTGTACACAGTACAGCATTTTTGTATTGCTGTGTTTGGCTATCTTAGTGTACTTTGTGTTTAGGCTTCATCACAAAATAGTCACATGTAGGGAAAATCAACGAACCAACGTGATTCCATGTTATATTGATGCCATTCCCTTATTTACTAATTTCACATGAGCTCATTCACATTGCAGAAACACATGCTTTCACAGAATAAACGGTATTCTTGGATCTACTTGTTTTTTCTATATGAATGTAGCATAACAGTTCTGTTAATGAACAATTATGGTTTAAATTTTGTATTTTAGAAAATGTAATGAGCAACTTATTTATATCTGTGATACCCCAGGATGGGGTTTCAGTTGGTGTTTTTAGGTTCAACTAAGCAGTCAAACCCACAGGACCTAATCAAGCCATGTTGAGAAAAGATTCCCTTACAGAAGGATATTAGAAGGAACACCCAGCCTGCCAGCACGGTAGAGCCCGGCGTTCCTCTTGTGCTCCACATGGCAGTGGAGGGGCTGTCGTCTGTGCCTCTTCCCCTCCCCGTGCAGCTCAAGACCACAGCAGACAGATGGGAGGACCAGCCTGGCTGAGAAAGATCATGTCCAAATAAGAACCAGTATCTTTTTATTTTTAGAGATCTGCTTAAATAGATAGTTGCAGCTTATATACATCATGCCTAAAGTTAATAAAATTATGGAAGGAATGAAATGAACGCTTGTGATTACTGTCAAAGTAACAATGATGGAAACTTACAGAAGACACGCACATTTCTTCCTTCCATGGGAAATTTGGCTTTTTTTTTTTCCTTAAGAAATTTTCTCAAGTGACTCCCTTAAGAAAGCTGAAGATTGGCCAGAAATGAAAGTTTGTGCCTTTCAGCAGAAGCTCTGAGAGTAGTAATGACATCAATTTCTCTCAAATCAATTTTGTGTCCTTGAACTATTTTTTTTTTAAAGCATGGTATCACAGTACTTGAGATGGCCATCTGGTGTGCAATGGAAAGATTTAAAGAATACTCAGAACTGTCCAAAGATGAAATAAGCTCCGTCAGAGGCAGTGAAGTCCTCATCATTAGGTGACCTCCTGATAGGAATTGTATGATATGAATTAAAATATTGGGTAGATGGTAGAGCTTGATGATGTTTTAGACCTTTCAAGGAAGTCCGTTTACCCCGTGACTCTGTCACACTTGTTTTCATGTTAGCACATGTTTCTGTGATCACAGAGTTGAAGGTTATGAAAACATTTTCAGTGTAATTCAGACAGCCGTTCTCCCTGACCCAAAATTATCTGTGCGTTTGCCTCATTCACCCACTTTGCTTACCTGGAGAGTATAATATTTCTGTAGTGTTTCTGTTTCCATATAGATTTATCTTCATTCATCACAGAGTTCTAAATGCCAGTTGCCTGCCATTCCAAGGGAATCGTACACAGTGGAAACACTTAGGGCAGAAAGTAGATTTCACTTCAAGGTTTGGTCTAGTCATTTTAAAAGTTTATGTATTTCATCACTTTTAAATGAATGTCTTGTCAGCCTCTCACAGTTGGAATATTTTAAATATGTATATCAGAGGAATTACAGAAAGTAGTAGGAGTTGCAGAGAATCTCGTTTTCCAGTTAAACTCTGTTGGTGATTTTCAGAACGAAGCGATGACTGGTTCTCACACTCAGAATCGAGTACTCTCTCGGATCACTCTGGCGTTAATGGAGGACACTGGGTAAGACAGCTGTGACAATGGGATATGAATTGTTTATTAAAATGAAATTAATACTGAGCTCATAGCTTAAGAAAATGTTGACATTTTATGCTGAAGCAAAATATACTTACTAATTATTTGAATCTTGTACAGTTAGCTGTCCATTGTTCATACCAACTCCATTCATTCATTCAATAAATACTTTTGTTGGTTGTTTGTTTTAAAATAGGATCTCACTCCTGTTGCGCAGGGTGGAGTGCAGTGGCAGTCTGGACTCGCTAATCCTGACTTCCCGGGCTCAAGCAATCCTCCCACCTCAGCTTCCTGAGTAGCTGGGACTACAGGCACGTGCCACTGTGCCTGGCTAATTTTTTGTATTTTAAATAGAGATGGGATTTTGTCATGTTGCCCAGGTTGTTCACAAACTTCTGGGCTCAAATGATCCACCCACCTTGACCTCTCCCAAAGTGCTGGGATTACAGGCCTGAGCCACCTCACCTGGCCACAATAAATGTTTGAGGCCCCGAGACATGGTAATAATTAGGACAAAATCCCTGATATTATTTGTTTTCGAATAAGCAGAGGCTGAGCCAATATCAAGAAAAGACCAAATAATTTTTAAATTACTTTTTTTTTTTTTTAATAAAACAGTGGAACTTTCAGGTGAAGCCATGAAATACTGTTTAGTTTATTTTTTTAAGTAGAGACAAGGTCTCACTATATTGCCCAGGCTGGTCCCAAACTCCTGGGCTCAAGCAAGCCTCCTGCCTTGGCCTCCCAAAGTGCTAGGATTACAGGAATGAGCCACCATGCCTGGCAGAAATACTGTTTTTACATGAAATCTTTTATACAACCCCTACATATAAAAAAAAATTAAAGCTGCTTTAGTAGAAGCATTATTACCTCTTACTCTTTCTAAGACAGTCTGAGAGAAAATTAGAAAATTGAATCAAATTTGAAAATTAATGGCAGAGGTGCCATTAAAACCATGAAAATTGTTGATACTACCTTCACTGTTGAGAGGTCAAAGAGGTGTAAGGATTTAAACATATAGAGGTTATTCTTTTTTTTTTTTTTTTTTGAGACGGAGTCTTGCTTTATCACCCAGGCTGGAGTGCAGTGATGTGATCTTGGCTCACTGCAACCTCCACCTCTCAGGGTCAAGCGATTCTCCTGCCTCAGCCTCCTGAGTAGCTGGGACTACAGGTGTGCATCACCACACCCGGCTAATTTTTATATTTTTAGTATAGATGGGGTTTCGCCATGTTGGCCAGGCTGGTCTGGAACTCCTGACCTCGGGTGATCTGCCCACAGTGCTGGGATTATAGGCATGAGCCACCGTGCCCAGCATATCTCATTGAGTTTTATGAGACTTAAATGAGTTAATATTTGTAAAGCCCTTTTGTACAGTGCTTGGCACACTGTAAGTGCCAACTAAGTGTGAGCATTATACAAAAAACCGAGCTAAAGACTCATGAAACAAGACTTACTCTTGCTGCCTCAGTGCAGTCCTTTATCGTATTGAGTTTTTAAAGAGAGAGAAATGTTAATCAAGATCTACTAAGTGGATTTCACAACTCACTAATACTACTCAGAAACCCCTGTTTCTAAAGCCCCCTCTACTCCCTCACTAGTGCTCATTCTTCTGAGTTTAGCTAAAGTTGCTTCCTCAGAAAAACCTTTCCGAATTCTTCAGACTAACTTAGGTTTTTCTGTTACTATGTTCCTGTTAGCATCATATACTTCTCCTTTGGAATACTCATCACACTTCAAATGTTTTGTTTTAGTATCTGTCTTCCCTACTAGATCATGATCTTCATGAGAGCAGTTTCTGTGTTTACTACTGTAGCCTTCATTTAACAAAGTGCCTACCATGTGACAAATGCTTAATAACTGTTGACTGCTAATACGGAAAGAGCTGCAAAGAAACGGTTATCAAGAGGGTCTCATGATGTGTAGCTGGAGTGCCCACCTGGTGATGGAATAACAGCGCTGATAGGATATTCTGCACTCACCAACATGCACCTTCACAAAGGAGTCTACTTACTCTACACTTTATTCATAGGGCTAAGGGCTTCTGAGCCTGAGCACCTGCTAAAATAATTGTTAGTGGACAGCACTAGGGGCACTGTCACTGTCCGGACAGTTTGACCTTGCTGTGACACCAAGGTAGCTGGGAACGTAACTCACATTGCAGTTGCAGAAGTTGCAGGCATTTTGGCTTTGGAGCGCTGCGACTCCTTCAGCTTCTCTCTGAGTGAGAGCTTTGTTCTTTGACCGGAGAGAAGTTTTGGAAGGTGCTACATTACGTATTTGTTTGATTTTGTAGTAAGGTGATATAAGTAGAGGGGATAATTCTTATCTCCCCAACTTTTGAGCCTATTTTTTTTTCAATATTATTGTTTTTTATTACATTGTTTATTATAGAGATGGGGTTTCACCACGTTGCCCAGGCTGGTCTCAAACTCCTGAGCTAAAGTGATCCACCCACCTTGGCCTCACTAAGTGCTGGGATTACAGGCGTGAGCCACTGCGCCCAGCCCTGAGCCTATGTTTTTATTTGCTGTTTTGATAATGCTAAAGGAACAAAATATAATACATACAGGTAAGAGACTACTTTGTATAATTTTATAATTTTTGCAAGCTAATCTTGTCTCTAAAAATAAATACAAACTAAAACAAACTGATTGCCTTCGATTAAATTTGTCTGGAAACTCAGTCAGTATTTTCTTTTTTCTGTTGTTAGAACTTTTTCTTTTGAGACAAGGTCTCACTCTATTTCCCGGGCTGGAGTGCGGTGGCATGATCCTGGGCGGAGGCGATCCTGCCACCTCAGCCTCCCAGGTAGCTGAGACTGTAAGTACACACCACCGCACACCTGGCTAACTTTTTGTATTTTTAGTAGAGACAGGGTCTCACCATGTTGGCCAGGCTGGTCTCGAACTCCCAACCTCAAGTGATCCAACCACCTCAGCCTCCCAAAGTGCTGGGGTTACAAGTGTGAGTCACCGCGCCCAGCTAGGACATTTAAAAAGTATTGGACATAGGCTGGGCACAGTGGCTCATACCTGTAATCCCAGCACTTTGGGAGGCCGAGGCGGATGGATCACCTGAGGTCAGGAGTTCAAGACCAGTGTGGCAAACATGGTGAAACCCTGTCTCTACTAAAAATGCAAAAATTAACCAGACATGGTGGTGGGTGCCTGTAGTCCCAGCTACTCAGGAGGCTGAGGCAGGAGAATCACCTGACCCAAGAGGCAGAGCTTCCGGCGAGCCGGGATCGTGCCACTGTACTCCAGCCTGGGTGACAGAGCAAGACCCTGTCTCAAAGTAAAATAAAGTGAAAATTATAATAGAAACGTGTTTTGTTCTGTTATGTAAAAATGTAAAAGTATTTAATACCTCATCATAAGCCTGGTTATTGAATCCCTGTGTAGCAGTCCCTGCTCTGCAAGAATCATCACTTATGGTGATGGCCTCCAAAGTCTTTCTCAAGGTCCTAAGGTGCTCGCTGTTGAGATTCTCAGTTGTTATGCTAGAGTTGTTTTTAAAAGGACAGCAATAAAAGTTGCTTTGTTTTTTATTCCACAGCTGGTATAAAGCAAATTACAGCATGGCTGAGAAGTTAGACTGGGGCCGAGGAATGGGCTGTGACTTTGTCAGGAAGAGCTGTAAATTCTGGATTGATCAGCAGAGACAAAAGTAAGAATGCGTTTCCTCACAGTGTCATTGATTACACAGTTCCTTTCTGATTTTATGCTTTATCCCAAGCCTAAAATGCTAACTATTTTCAAAATGTAGTCTGAGCAGTTCAATTTTACCATATATAGAAAACCACCTGTAGATGGTTGGTAATAAGATTGTAAGAAGTAGCTGAGTATTGTTTGTAATCATATACTAAAGAGATCCACAGTGAGGAGCCCAGAGCCATGAACATTTCTGTTCAGCTTATTATAACTCATAAATATATATATTTTACAAACCTTTTGTTTCCTCTGTCGTTTGTGTTGTTTTCTTCAGATAATGCACCTGTAAGTATAGATGCAAATATTGATTCAGTATCAAAAAAAGGCACTTTTGAATAGGAATTTCCAAATCCAGATGCGTATCATAATCACCTAGCAAGCTTTTAAAAAATACAGAGTAAGTTTGACATCTATCTGTATATCATCTATACAGACATATATCATACATACATACAATACAGACATATATACAATACAGACATGTATCAGACATATATACAATACAGACATGTATCAGACATATATACAATACAGACATATACATATATACAATACAGACGTATACATATATTCAATAAGACATATATCAGACATATATACAATACAGACAGGTATCAGACATATATACAATACAGACATGTATCAGACATATATACAATATAGACATATATCAGACATATATACAATACAGTTGTTCTTTGGTAACCATGGAGGATTGCTTCCAGGACTCCACAGATAACAAAATCCATAGATGCTTACATAAAAGTTCCTTATATAAAATGGAATAGTATTTGCATATAACCTGTGTATGTCCTCCTGTATACTTTAAATTACCTCTAGGTTATTTATAATACATAATACAATATAAATGCTATGGGAATAGTTGTTATACTGTATTGTTTAGGGAAAAATGACAAGGAAAAAAGTGCCCATGTTCAGTACAGATGCAAGCATCCTTTTTTCCCTGAATTTTTCTTTTCTTTTTTTTTTCTTTTGAGACAGAGTCTCACTCTGTTGCCCAGGCTGGAGTGCAGTGGTGCAATCTCAGCTCACTGCCACCTCTTACCTACCAGGTTCAAGCGATTCTCGTGCCTCAGCCTCTTGAATAGCTGTGATTATAGGCGTGCGCCACCACTCCTGGCTAATTTTTGTATTTTTAGTAGAGACGAGATTTTGCCATGTTGGCCAGGCTGGCTCACGCCTGTAATCCCAGCACTTTGGGAGGCCGAGCCGGGTGGGTCACTTGAGATGAGGAGTTCAAGACCAGCCTGGCCAACATGGTGAAACCCCATCTCTACTAAAAATATAAAAATTAGCCAGGTATGGTGGCGGGCGCCTGTAACCCCAGCTACTCAGGAGGCTGAGGCAGGGAACAGCTTGAATCCAGGAGGCAGAGGTTGTAGTGAGCCGAGATCGCACCATTGTACTCCAGCCTAGGTGACAAAGTGAGGCTCTATCTCAAAAAAGACACAACAACAACAACAACAAAAATGTTATGTGAATGAATTCATATTGTATGTGAACTTTTGAGCATGGCTTTTTTTACTCAGCATAATTCTCTGGAAATTCATCCAGGTTGTTGTATACATCAATAATTTGACTTTTTGTGGCTGGTTAATATTTCGCAGTGTGATATACCACAGTTTGTTTAAACATTCACACTTTGAAGGACATCTGGATTGTTTCCAGTTTTGGGCTATTATGAATGAAGTTGCTATAAACATCTATGTACAAGTTTGTGTGTGAACATATATCTTTATTTTTCCAGAAAAAGTGCCAGGAGTGCAGTTGCTGGCTCATTAAGTCATTGCAGGTTTAGTTTTGTAAGAAACTGCCAAACTTTTTAATTCCTAGCAGTGACGTGTAAGTGATATAGTTTCTCCACATGTTTGCCAGCATTTGGCGTTGTCATGATTTTTTGTTTAATCCATTCTGATAGGAGTGTAGTGATATTTTATTTTGGTTTTAATTTGTGTTTCCCTAATGTCTAATGATGTTGAACCGCTTTTCATGTGCTTACTCGCTAATTATATATCCTCTTTGGCAAACTGTCTCTTCATCTTTTTTTTTTTTATTTTTGAGACAGAGTTTCGCTCTGTTGCCCAGGCTGGAGTGCAGTGGTACAGTCTTGGCTCACTGTAACCTCTGCCTCCCGGGTTCAAGCGATTCTTCTGCCTCAGTCTCCAGAGTAGCTGGGACTACAGGCACATGCCACTATGTCCGGCTAATTTTTGTATTTTTAGTAGAGATGGAGTTTTACCATGTTGGCCAGGCTGGTCTCAAACTCCTGACCTCGTGATCCACCCACCTCAGCCTCTGAAAGTGCTAGGATTACAGGCATGAGCCACCACACCCAGCCTCTTCATCTCTTAAGCCAATTTTCTAATTGGATTGTTTTTTACTGTTGAGTTTTGAGAGTTCTTCATGTATTCTGGGTAGTAGTCCTTTGTCAGATATGTGGTTTGCAAATATTTTCTCCCAGTTCATAGCTTGTCTTTTTATCCTTTTAACAGGGGCTTTTGTAGGGCAAATGGTTTTAGTTTTGACGAAGTCCAGAATTTCAGTTTGTCCTCTTATTGTGTCTTTGACGTCAAGTCTAAGAAGTCTTTGCCAAGCTCTAGATCTTGAAAGTTTTCTTATGTTTTTTTCAAAAGTTTTATAGTTTTACACTTTACATTTAAGTCCATGATTCATTTGACTTACGTTTTGTATAAGGTGGGAGACTTAGATCAAGGTTTGTTTTTTTGTATACAGATGGGCAATTGCTTTAGCACCATTTGTTGGAAAGGCTGTCTTTCCTTCATGGAATTGCTTTCGTGCCTTTGGCAGAAACAATCAGTTGGGTGTATCTGTTTCTGTTTCTGGGTTTTCCGTTCTGTTCCAGTGATCCCCGTGTTTGTGCCTCCACCAATAACACACAGCCCTTAATTACTGTAATTATTTAGTAAGTCTTGAAATTGGGTAGACTGATTCTTTCCACTTTATTTTAAAATTGTTCTGGCTGTTTTGGTTCCTTTGCATTTCCATATACATTTTACAATAATCTTGTCTGTATCTGCCAAAAAACTTGCAGGGATTTTGCTAGGAGCTGCATTAACCCTGTGTGTCAATTTGAGGAGAATTGACATTTTTACTGTGTTGAGTTTTCCAATCCATAAACATGGGAGAAAACATTCAGTCTTTCATTATTAAATGTAATGTTAGCTGCAGATTTGTATACATGTTCTTTATACATGTTTTTATACATGTTCTTTATCTTTTATACATGTTTTATACATGTTGAGAAAGTAGCTCTCTATTCCTATGTGTCTGAGAGCTTTAATCGTGAATGGATATTGCCTTCTGTCAAATGCTTTTTCTACTTTAGCTGATATGCATAATCATGTAATTTTTTTCGCCTGTTAATATGGTGGATTTCATTGGTTGATTTTCAAATATTAAATCACCCTTGCATTCCTGGAGTAAACCCCACTTGGTCATGGCATATAATTATTTCTATATGTTGCTGAATTCTATGGACTATTATTTTGTTGTGGATTTTTGTTTCTGTATTTGTGATGAATACAGATCTGGAGTTTTCTCTTTTTTCCCCAATTATTTTACCTTTAATTAATCAGTATGGCTCTCAGAACAATTATGTCAGTTAAACTTGATCTTTTTCAAATCTGACACATTTTGAAAAACAGATATATCCTTCCAGTAAGAGAGATTTAAAAAATAATAGAAGAAAAGTTACGAAATACATAATAATTATTACTAAATGAGCAAATAATGGGCTCCCCTGTCATACTTAATATTGGCTTAATTTAAATTATTATTTATGGCCAGACATGGTGGCTCATGCTTGTAATCCTAGCACTTTGGGAGGCTGAGGCAGGCTGATTGCTTGAGCCCAGGAGTTCAAGACTAGCCTGGACAACATGGCGAAAGCCCATCTCTACAAAAATGTACAAAAATGAGGTGGGTGTGGTGGCACATGCCTGTTGTCCCAGCTACTCAGGAGACTGAAGCAGGAGGATCACTGGAGCCCAGAAGCTTGAGGCTGCAGTGAGCTATGACTACACCACAGCACTTCATCCTGGGTAGCAAAGTAAGACCCCATCTCTAAATAAATAAATACATGATTTGTGTCATACTCTGAAGTAATAAATCCTAGGATATAATGAGGTGTTTATCATGCTTTATTTTTATTTTGACTTAGTTCAAAATATTTTTCTCTTTCTTTTAATTCAAAACTCTTGTGTCACTTCAAGTTCAAAATATTTTTAACTTTCTCTTAAGATTTCTTCTTTGACCACTGTATTATTTAAAAGTGCTTTGTTTAATTTCCATCTATTTTGAGATGTTCCAGCTATCTTTCTGTTATTGATTTCTAGTTTAATTCCATTATTGTAAGAAAACAAACCTTTTTCCTCAGCCTTTCGAGTAGCTGGGACTACAGGCGCACACAACCACACCTAGCTAAATTTTTATATTTTTGTAGAGACAGGGTTTCACTGTATTGCTCAGGCTAGTCTTGAACTCCTGGGCTCTAGCAGTCTGCCCACCTCTGCCTCCCAAAGTGCTGGGATTACAGTCGTGAGCCACTGTGCCTGGCCTATTTTTCTGTTCTTAATCTCGATTTTTGAGATTATTGATTTGAGATATTTCCTGTTTCTAATGTAGCTGTTTGTTGCTATACATTTTCCTCTCAGCATTTCTTTAGCTTTATCTCACAAATTTCAATGTGTTTTTATTTTCATTTAGTTCAATGTATTTTTAAAAATTTTTCTTTGAGATTCTTCTTTGACCCATGGATTAGGTAGAAGTGTGTTGTTTGGTATACAAGTATTTGGAAAATTTTCTGTTATTTTTTGTTGTTGAATTGTAGTTGGAGAATATATGCTGTATGATTTGAGTTATTTTAAATTTGTTCAGGTTTGTTTTATGGCCCAACATATGGTCTTATCTTGATATATACTTTTTTATTTTTTTAATTTTTTTGAGATGGAGTTTCACTCTGCCACCCAGGCTGGAGTGCAGTGGTATGATCTTGGCTCACTGCAGCCTCTGGTGCTGAGTTCAAGCTCTTCTCCTGCTTCAGCCTTCCAAGTAGCTGGGACTACTGGCGCCCGCCACCACGCCCGGCTAAGTTTTTGTATTTTTAGTAGAGATGGGGTTTCATCCTGTTTACCAGGCTGGTCTTGAACTCCTGATCACAGCTGATCCACCTGCCTTGGCTTCTTCCCAAAGTGTTGGGATTACAGGCGTGAGCCACCACGCCCAGCCAATCTTGTACACGTTTCATGGGCACTTGAAAAGAATGTACATTCTGACGCTGTGTGGAGTGTCGTGTAAATGTCAGTTACATCCTGGTGGTTGATGGTGTTAAGTCCTTGACGTTGGGTGGAGTGTCGTGTAAATGTCATTTACATCCTGTTGGTTGATGATGTTAAGTCCTTCTATATCCTTGCTGATTTCCTCCCTAGTTGGTCTATCAGTTGTTGAGAGAATTCACCACCACGTCAGTCTTCGAGTCCTGAAATCCTTAACTAGTGTGACTTCTCTCTACCCTTCAGAGTCTTCTTTTATTTCTTTAATTTACAGTGACTGGGTTTTTAGTTGTACTCAGAGGGAGGAATAGGGAAAAGCCTATCTAGTCCATCTTCCAGGAATTCAGTGACTGGGTTTTTAGTTGTACTCAGGGGGAGGAATACGGAAAAGCCTATTATCTAGTCCATCTTCCAGGAGTTGTACTCAGAGGGAGGAATAGGGAAAAGCCTATCTAGTCCATCTTCCAGGAATTCAGTGACTGGGTTTTTAGTTGTACTCAGAGGGAGGAATTGGGAAAAGCCTATTATCTAGTCCATCTTCCAGGAATTCAGTGACTGGGTTTTTAGTTGTACTCAGAGGGAGGAATAGGGAAAAGCCTATTATCTAGTCCATCTTCCAGGAATTAGAAGTGGTACTGATATTTCTCTTTCTATATTTAAAAAATTTCCCCTGGTGGGTCAGATATGGTGTGGTGGCTCACACCTGTAATCCCAGCACTTTGGGAAGAGGGAGGATTGCTTGAGCCCAGGAATTTGAGACCATGTTGCTTAGGCAACATGACCCTATCTCTACAAATTAAAAAAAATTAGCCTGGCATGGTGGCATGGTGGCATGACCCTGTAGTCCCAGTTCCTTGGGGGCTGTGGTGTGAGGATCCCTTGAACCCAGGAGGTCACAGCTGTGGTGAGCTATGATCATGCCACTGCAATCCAGTGTGGGTGACAGCAAGACCCTGTTGCAAAAAAAAAAAAAAAAGAAAGAAAAGAAAATGTGATTCTCATCTTTTCTTACCTGCGTTAGGTCATAAAGCAATTTAAATCACTTGTGGTTTCTACTAAGGAGTTTGACCTCTGGGTTGTAACCCTAATGTGAAGATAATAGGCAGTAGCCAGAGGCACCGGCAGCCACTCTGAGGACAGCTTGTTAACCCTGCACTACAGCCTGATCTGCCAGTTAGGGGTTCTCAAATTTTGCTGCTTATGAAAATCATCTAGAGAACTTGAAAAACTCTCCATACCCAGGTTACAAGTTAAATCATGACTGTGCTAAGAGCCAGGCACTAGCGTTGTGTGAGTTTGTTTTCCTAAATTCCCGAGTGATCTTACTGTGTAATGGAGTTTGGGAACCACTGTCCCAGTGTATCAGAGGAAGTCTGTAATTCACACTGCAGCGGCAAGAGCTCAGGGAGGTTTTTGTTCACTTTTCTGTTAACAGTTGCAACTCTGTTTATTCCCCTTTTGATCCCAATTATAGCATCACCTAAGACCTGAAACAGAAGGGACTTCTACTTCTTTATTCTTAAAAACTAAAGCCGTGGGTCCCTTGAATTCTCTTCTATCCTTTGATTCATAAGCCAGTGCCAGCAAGGCTTTTTTTTTAAGGTCCAAATAGTAAATGTTTTAGGTTTTGAGGGTTGTTACAATCTGTGTCACAACTACTTACCTCTGCTTTTATACAGCAAGAGGCAAAACCAATGCGCATGGTCATGTTCCTGTCATCTTCCCCATCTCTACAAAAAGTAAGTGAGCATGGTGGCACATGCTTGTAGTCCCACTTGCTTGAGAGGCTGAGGTGGGAGGATTGCTTGAGCCCAGAAGATCAGGGCTGCAGTGAGCTATGGTTGTGCGGTTGTGTCACTGCACTCCAGCCTGGGCAACGAGACCCTGTTTTAAAAACAAAAAATCGACAAGAAAGAAAACAGACTGTGGTCAGGATTTGACCCAAGAGTTGAGTTTGCTGACCCCTGTCATAATCATTCAAATGTCCCACTTGGGAGCATTGAAGTTCAGAATCATTCACAGGATAGAAGCCATCTTCCGGCAGCACAGACCCAGTCTGCCTGTGTGTATGTTAGGGATTCCAGTGCGGCCGTTCTTGAGCACAGGGGCCGATGCCCAACTTCTGGGCTTCGTCAACTGTGACTCTTCTCCATTGTTGGGAAACCAGTGTGAGAAGGGGTTGGTTGAGTGAGCATAGGCAGAGCCATACTTATTTGAATCACTTCAATGTACACATACTTAAAATAAGGTTCTTTCTATGTTTGAAGCAACTAAAACTGATAAACCACCCAACTCCTCTGCCTAGCTCATTTGATGTGAATATTGACTCTAGAGCTATACTGTCTAATGTGGTACCATTAGCCACATGGGGCTGAACTTATATTTAAATTAGTTAAAGTTAAATACCATTTAAAATTTAGTTCCTCAGGGCCAGGCACGGTGGCCCATGACTGTAATCCCGGCAGTTTGGGAGGCTGAGGTGGGCAGATCACGAGGTCCAGAGATCGAGACCGTCCTGGCTAACATGGTGAAACCCCGTCTCTACTAAAAATACAAAAATTAGCCAGGTGTAATTGTGGTGGCGGGCGCCTGTAGTCCCAGCTACTCAGGAGGCTGAGGCAGGAGAATTGCTTGAACCTGGGAGGCGGAGCTTGCAGCGAACCAAGATTGCACCACTGCACTCCAGCCTGGCGACAGAGCAAGACTCCGCCTCAAAAAAAAAGAAAAAAAAAAATTAGTTCCTCAGTTAACTAGTCACCTTTCAAGTGACATACATGATCGATGGCGACATCGGGCAGCACAGATAGAGACTTTTTCTAGCGCTCTTGACAGTGCTTCTCCGGAATTTGTAAGCCATGAATCTTAGCTCTAACTTTGGAATGTTTAAAATCGCTAACTTTTAACTTCTTTTTTCTTCTTTATTCATTTAGCCGAAACTCATTTGATGTAATTTAAAGTAAATATAATATGCCTTTTGGTTTTAGACAAAAAACAGAAATGACTTTCATGGAATCAAGAAAGTCACTGATTAAGAACTATTGGAATATGAACTTCCATATTCATTCGAAGCTTTATCATGGGAAGTTAAAATATTGCCTTTTATGAAGATTTTATGAAAATGGTATAAACAGCAGAAATTACATTTATTGAGTAGCCTGCGTGTGCCAGGCACTGAGTGCTTTGCGGTTGAAGCTCAGGAAAGTTAAGTAATTTCCACAGAAGTGTGGCTGGTGCTGGTGTTTGAACCCAGACCTGTGCGATTACTTCAAAACGTTTGCTTTCCTGTTATACTGTGCTGCTTCCACTTTGCTGAAGACTGTGGTAAGTATTTTGTATGTTTCATCTTAGGAAGCTGTAACTCCCCAAAGATGTATGCTGATACACTGTGTTCATTTAAATAAGACAGTTCATCAATTTTCCTTAAAATAAGAAATATTTAATACAGGCTTTTTTTCCTTAAGAAATATGTGGAAGAAGAGGAAAATTGTCAATGATTCTATTACAATTTGGTAGACCAGTATTAATAGGATTTCTATTATTTAGGAATACTGAGATTTTATTTATAAAATTGCTATTATGATATTAATATAATTTTTATATTGTAAATTGTCAATTTGATGACTGCTAAGAATTACAGGTTTGTTTGAAGGTTGTTTTTGCAAGACAGTGCAACAGATTCTAATATCTTTTAATAATTTACATGCCCTTTTTTCAAATTATATTTTCAAGATTACATTTAATGGAACAGAACAAGTTGGTAACAATTAGGAATATTCACATAATCTTTATTTTGCCCAGGAAAATAAGATTGTCTGGTGAAGGTGGTCAATTAAACAAACTGTCAGATTATTGAATAGAGAAAATTTCACTCTTTGTAGCTGCAGGGCAGAGGGGACGTTACCTCCATCTCTTTCCGAGAATCCCATTTGTTAATTATGAAGGTTTGTGTTTTTAGGCCGGGATCTGGATTTCCATTTGTTGGCTGTTTAATGGACTTGCAATATTTTCTTTAAAGTTTGATACTGTGGCACTTCTCTTTGTTTGCAGGAGGCAGACGCTGAGCCCTTACTGTGACACGCTCAGAAGTAACCCACTGCAGTTAACTTGCAGACAGGACCAGAGAGCAGTTGCAGTGTGTAATTTGCAGAAGTTCCCTAAACCTTTACCACAGGAATACCAGGTAAAGCGGGTCTGGGGCACAGTTGTAGGAATCAGCTTTTCAAAAGTAGTCTCCATTTTAATTAAAAGAATAAATTCTCATAAGTTTCTTAATTTATAAGGCCCTGTTTGTTTTCCTTAAGTGAGAAAAAAATGGAATAATGCTTCCATTTCTTTATAACTAATGTCCTAATTGATAGCACTTAGTTAAAATCTAGCAGTGTCTTACAATAATGGCAAGAAGAATTTGAATATTTGATCTGTTTTTACCTGTTTATGTTTTCTAATTATTTCCAAAATCTTGCTATTTAAATTCCTCTAATCTACACAGAAAAAAAATCTTTAAAGAAAATAACTTAAGTACTCTAATCCAATTAATTAGAAGACTTGGAAACTCTGCTTTGGAAAAGATTTGATTCATGGGATCCTAAAGATTAAGGAAATGGTCCCACATATCTTGTCTGGATCTCTGATTTGACCTTTATGTTTCTTTTTATGTTTTATCTTTTTTTTTTCTTTTTTTTTTTTTTGAGACAGAGTCTCACTCTGTCGCCCAGGCTGGAGTGCAGTGGCATGATCTCAGCTCACTGCAGCCTCCCCTTCCCAGGTTCAAGTGATTCTTGTGCCTCAGCCTCCTGAGTAGCTGGGTTTACAGCTGCGAGCCACCATGCCTGCCTAATTTTCATATTTTTTAGTAGAGGTGGAGTTTTGCCATGTTGCCCAGGCTGGTCTCGAACTCCTGGCCTCAAGTGATCCATGTGCCTCGGCCTCCAAAAGCACTGGGATTACAGGTGTGAGCCAACATGTCTGGCTACTTTTTGTATTTCTAATAGAGACGGGGTTTCACCATGTTGGCCAGGCTGGTCTCGAACTCCTGACCTCATGTGATCCACCCACCTCGACCTCGCAAAGTGTTGAGATTACAGGCGTGAGCCCCCGCGCTTGGCCATGACCTTTACATTTCTTGTTGCCAAAGCTATCTTTAAAAAGCCTCAACTGTACCTGCTATTTACAAAGGAACCTTTTGTCAGAAATGATGTCTCAGAAGCTAATTTAAAATAAAGCTGCTGAATTTTAAGCTTCCTACACATATTTATAAGCTCACTGAATGCTTCAGATACCATAAAATAGCAAATGTATTCATAGGCATAGTAATATAACTCAAAAATGTAACATCTTTAAAAATTTCTCTGGTGCATCCAGGGGTGAAAAAACACATAAAATTATTTTATTTTCATTTATTTATTTATTTTTGGAGATGGAGTCTTACTGTCACCCAGGCTGGAGTGCAGTGGTGTGATCTTGGCTCACTGCAACTTCTGCCTCCCAGGTTCAAGCAATTCTCCTGCCTCAGCTTCTCAAGTAGCTGGGACTACAGCTGTGCACCACCATGCCCAGCTAATTTTTGTATTTTTTTTTTTTTTTTTTTTTTTTTGGAGGGGGGGGGTTTCACTATATGTTGGCCAGGCTGGTCTTGAACTCCTGACCTCAGGTGATCCGCCCACCTTGGCCTCCCAAAGTGCTGGGATTATAGGCGTGAGCCACCATGTCCGGCCATAAAATTACTATAAAAAAGAAAGGAACAATAAAATTTATCTGGTGCTTTGTACCTTTGGCATTCAAAGTATTTTTTATATATGATCTCATTTATTTTCTCAGATTTTAATTTTTTCAAGTTTGTCAAAACAACGTGTAAACTGCCTCCTAAAAACTCTTGAAAAATATATTTAAAATGTAACTTTATGCATTAGTTTTATATTTTGTCAACTCTTAAAACTTCTTTTTACTCAGTGTAATTAAAACTATTTCATTCGTTTAAAACATTAGTCTAATTGAACATTGTAATACATAACTTAAGACTCATTTACTTACCTTGTTTATTTGTAGAACTATAACAACCTTAAATTACTCCTCTGGTGGTTTACTACTGTCTTCTTTATTTGGTGCAGTGGATGAAGAAAAGTACTTTAGTATCTTGTGTTATATGGCATTAGAGGGTTGCAAAATATTACCTGTGCACTTCCTCTTGTTTATACAGAATGTTTCTTTCTCGTCTTCCCAATATTTGTTTTGCAGTACTTTGATGAACTCAGTGGGATACCTGCAGAAGATTTGCCTTATTATGGTGGCTCCGTGGAAATTGCTGACTATTGCCCTTTCAGTCAGGAATTCAGTTGGCATTTAAGTGGTGAATATCAGCGCAGCTCAGATTGTAGAATACTGGAAAATCAACCAGGTTAGTCAGCTAGTGAAATGAAGTTTAATATACATATTAAAATTATATATCAGCAATATAGAATAGGGGTTAAGGGCACAGACCCTAGAGCAGAACGGTCTGAATTTGCTTTATAGTTCAGCTGCTATCCATATGTAAGAAGTGACTTAGCTTTTCTCTGCCTGTTTCTTCATCTGTACAATGGAGACAATACTTATAGAGTCGTGAGAATTAAATGAATTAATGTAGTAAGTGCTTGCAACTGTGCCTGACCTATCGAAGGGATTATTAGCGTATGCATGCACACACTATATTTTAGTCATACCTTCTAGCTGCATGGCACTTTCCATTTGCAAACCACTTTCATTCTTACCATTTAATTCTTCTGAAAACATTATGAGAAACATAAGGAAGACATTACTGTATTTCCCAGATAAGCAGATAGATACTAAGTAATATAGTTAATTTGTGTCAGTGCAAGATCCTCCAATGCCAACCTCTTTTTATTAAACTACCTTAGATAAGCTGCTTTTCCCTCTCATGGGGAATGTGCGTTTTATGTAAGTTAGAAGCAACATGTCACTCTTCAGATGTCAAAACAATGTTCTTGTCTCATGGCCAGTAAGATATGTTACCGTATTATTTGTTTCCTCTTAACACATATAAATGAACAAGCTATCAAAGGAATAAAGAATTGGATATTCTGCAATAAGTTACTGCTCATACTAATTACCTTTGTAAACAGAAATGTTCTCACATCTGATGTAAGAAAGGGCAGTAAGTAGTTTTTCTCTCTGTGTTCATCAGAAGTTTTAACCTAGTCTCCAAACCCCCACCCCCATTCCATACTTTATTACAGACTAAGGCATTTAAATTCTAAATTTTTGTATTCTTACCTTTTACTCTTAAACTTGGCAGATGTAACTGGATTCCTGCAGCGTTTTTCCCCATCACTCATCTATTTAATAAATGTCCTGCCCAGGCACAGTGGCTCATACCTGTAATCACAGCACTTTGGGAGGCCAAGGCAGGTGCATTGCTTGAGCTCAGGAGTTTGAGGCCAGCTGAGCAACATAGTGAAACCCTGTCTGTATCAAAAATACAAAAAATTAGCCAGGTGTGATGGTGCACACCTGTGGTCCCAGCTATGCAGGAGGACGAGGCTGGAGGATTGCTTGAGTAGCCCAGGAGGTGGAGGTTGCAGTGAGCCAAGATCATGCCACTGCACTCCAGCCTGGGCAACACAGTGAGACCCCATCTCACATAAAAATACAGAATAAATAAATAAATAAATAAATAAATAAATATCCTAACAACTTGTAACTACTCAGCAGTTCCGTATTAAAGCAAAAGAAATGCACAGATCTGTCGGCTATGGATTTGCCAGAGATGTACTATCACATGTTATTGTTTTAGAGGTGGAGTTGGCAAACTTTTTTTGTAACGGGCAAAATTATAAATATTTGAGGCTTTGTGGGTCGTCAAGTCTCTGGCTTCCTGATTCAGCTCTTCAGCTCTGCTGTTACAGTCTGAAAGCAGTGACAGACCATATGTAAATGAATGAATGTGTTAGGATTTGGCCTGAGGGTTATAGTTTGCTGAATTCTGTTTTTTTATTATTATTATTTTTTAGAGATGAAGTCTCACTCTGTCACCCAAGTTGGAGTGCAGTGGCACCATCATAGCTCACTGTAACCTGTAACTCCTGGGCTCAAGTGATTCTCCTGCCTCAGACTCCCCAGAGCCAGGACTACAGGTGTGCACGAGGCTTGCTGTGTTACCCAGACTGGCCTCAAACTCCTGGCCTCAGGCAGTCCTCCCTCCTTAGCCTCCCAAAGTGTTGAAATTATAGACTTGAGCCACCACGTCCAGCCCGGAACCCCATTTTAGACACTGATCACTATACTTTTCAAAGACTCTGATACTCAAAAGAAGTAAAGAATTCTGTTTTATTCTAATTTGCATTTTTTCTTAGCTTATATGTTAAGATTTATCAAAACTGACGTAAAACACTTATCTTTATAATATTTCAAAATGGGCTAATTGAAGTTTCTACTTCCCAAAATAAAACTTATTGTGAAGAGTCTAAAGAGAGGAAATTATTGCTTGGGTTTAAGAGCTTTGTCCCTTTGTCCATTAGGTATTTAGAGGCCTTTCATTCCACCCTGTCCTCTCCAGGTTTGTGCTTAATGTGAGATTAGATCAGCATCTTACTAGGTTGGTGCAGGAGTAATTGTGGTTTTGCCATTAAAGTAATGCAAAAACCGCAGTTACTTCTGCACCAACCTAATATTTATGGACTTCCAGGAGGTGACACAAGTTGAAGATATAAAAAAGTTTTCAGAAGTTGCAACACCCCCCAAAAGTCTGCATTATAGAAATCACTTGGTCTCATCCTATCATGGGTCATTTGGAGGTGCCTCCTATTTAGACCGCCAGTGAAGATGATTCTTATATTGGTGTCTCGTGATCTAGTGATTCTTAGTGCTAGTTCTTCTGTATATTTAACCTAGAAAACTTTGGGCCCAGTTTTATTCCCTTGTGTCTGATACAGTAGTTTTCTCCTGTTAATCATTAAGAACCTAGTGTGAGTTTGGAATCCTGTCTATCCTAATTTTTTAAATTTAAAATTTCCATGAAACATGTTTGATTTTTAAAGCAATTTTTAATCATAAAAATGGAATGCTTCAGTTTCTTGTTCTTTGAGCCAGAAGTCAATTTTTAAGGAGACTTTTCTTCTTTACCTCAGAAATTTTTAAGAACTATGGCGCTGAAAAGTATGGACCTCATTCAGTTTGTCTAATTCAGAAATCAGCATTTGTTATGGAAAAGTGTGAGAGGAAGCTGAGTTACCCAGACTGGGGGAGCGGATGCTATCAGGTAAGCTTATGTTTGTTTTTAGTTATGCCAAATATTGTGTGATTTTATCTCTTTTATGGTTGTGTATTTTAAATTATATTTTCATATTTTTATGTAATTAATTTACTGATCAATACTTTATCTTGTTTATGCAAATATTAGTTTAGATGCTTATGTTTTATGAAAATATTGTCATTTCTTTAGAAAAACTGCCTCTTAAAAATATGTATATAATTGCTGTAATGTTACTTCTGGGCATATATTCTGAGGAAGTAATGGCAAATATGTACTTTTGTTCTTGAGCAAATATTACTTTGTAATGGAAAAAACGTACAATTTTATTTCAAAAGGTCTGAGGACTGCATGGGTTATAAGAATTAGTAAATCAGGCTGGACATGGTGGCTCACGCCTGTAATCCCAGCACTTTGGGAGGCTGAGCCAGGAGGATCGCTTGAGCCCAGAATTCGAGACCATCCTAGGCAACAAAGTGAGACCCTTTCTCTAAAAAAATAAAGAAAAAAGAATTAATATATCAGTTGCTGATTAATAATAGGGTCTTTTTTCCTTTGTAATTAGAAATCCAAAAAGGGCAAACTACAATTTTTTTTTTCTTTTTCTCTTTTTTGAGACAGGGTCTTGCTGTCAGCTAGGCTGGAATGCTGGTGCAGTCATGGCTCACTGTATCCTCCACCTCCTGCGCTCAAGCGACCTCCCCACCTCAGCCTCCTGAGCAGCTGGGACTACGGGTGTGCACCACACACCCGACTATGTTTTTGATTTTTTGTAGAGAAGAGGTCTCACTATGTTGCCGGGGCTAGATTAGAACTTCAGGGCCCAAGCAATCCTTTTTTTTTTTTTTTTGAGACGGAGTCTCACTCTGTCACCCAGGCTGGAGTGCAGTGGTGCGATCTCGGCTCACTGCAAGCTCCGCCTCCCGGGTTCCAGAGGTTCTTGTGTCTCAGCCTCCTGCACAGCTGGAATCACAGGCATGCACCGCCACACCCAGCTAAGTTTTGTATTTTTAGTACAAAAATTGTCCAGGCTGGTCTCAAACTTCTGGCCTAAACTGATCCTCCCGCCTTGGTCTCCCAAAGTGCTGGGATTACAAGCATGAGCCACCATGCTTGGCCGAATATTTCTTTTTTTTCTGTCACAAGATATTCTAAGCTCACTTTGTTCTTTGTCTGCCCCTGACATGTAATTAACCATTTCTCTAAAGACCTCCAGTTACTTTCAGTGAAGTGTGGTGTTTAGAGACTAAGATCTGGGTGCTGATTACACTGTTCATTGCCATTGATAATCGCAGTTGGGAACTGGGAATACCAGTTCATCAGGCCCTCTTAGTAAGGCAGGAAATGTATCTATATGTATCAGTACACTCTCCTGTGACTGTGTGTGTGTAACCATGAGTTCGCATCAGTAAGGCTGGTTTGATTCCATTGGTGTGAGAACTTGTCTGACACCAAAGGATTTATTTTAGTTTTCCACCTTTTCATATTTGTACTTCCTTCACCAACAGTGAGAAATCCAGCTCCTGTCATCTCAGTATGTTTACTCATTTGATCTATCCACATCCTGTCCACTTTCTCTCACTCCCATCACCCTCCTCACCCGGCCAACTCTGCGTGACCTCCCAGTCACACGCCTCCCCCTGCCCCTCCATACAGATCACCTACCTTTCCTCACTTAACGGCTTTAGACGTAATTACTTTTGAGGAAGGGGAAAGGAGAAAGGGAGGGATCGCTGAGCTTTGTTTTCTTAAAATTGTGGCAAAATAGATATAACACAAACATTTCCACTGTAACTGTTTTTACTTGTACAGTTAAGTGGCACTAAATGCATTCACGTTGTCGTGCACATCACCACTCTGCGTCTCACAGGTTTTCATGATCCCAAAAACTGAAACTCTGTACTCACTCAACAATCCCTCCCTGTTCCTCCTCCCCCAGCCCTGACAGCCTCTATTCTCTGTTCTCTCTCTGTAGATTTGCCTAATCTAGGTAGTCCTTATAAGTAGAATCATACAATATTTGTCCTCTTGCACCTGACTTCTTTTACTTAGCATGGCGTTGTCAGGACGCATCCACACTGTGGCATGTATCAGAACGGTTTTCCTTTATATGTCTGAATAACACTCCATTGTATGGATCAGTCACGTTTTGAATCAGTTGACGGACACTTAGGTCGTTTGCATCCACCTCTTGGCTGTTGGGATCTTGCTGCAGTGAACACTGGCTTCTGTGTATCTGTCTGACTCCCTGTTTTCAGTCTTCTCGGGAGTAGAATTGCTGTATCATATGGCAATTCTATGTTCAGCTTTCCTAGGAACTACCAGACTAGGTTTTTTGTTGTTGTTGAGGGGTTTTTGGTGTTATTTTGAGGTTTATTTTTTATTATTATTAATAGACTTTATTTTTTAGAACAATTTTAGGTTCACAGCAAATTTGAGCAGAAGGTACAGAGAGTTCCCATATTCCCCTGCTCCACACACACGTGGCCTCCCACACCGTCAGCATCCTGTACCACAGAGGTATTTTTGGTGCCATCGATGAACCCAGATCATCGTCCGAAGTCCATGTTCACATTAGGTTCTCTCTGGGTGTTTTATGTTCTGTGGGCTTTGACACCTGTAGGATATGCGCCCATAAGATAATGAGTTGTTGAAATGGGCTTTGTTATAAGTTACAGATTGGCTATCTGTGGCTAAATAATTGCTGTGATGAACATAAATAAGAATAAGTGAAATAAAAAGTGGGATGAAATGCTTCAGGTGCAAGTTCAAAGGGGACTGTATTTTCTCTGTACAAAAGACACCTTGAGGCGCGTGTTTTCATGTCAACCCTTTGTGTTCTTAGCATGTTTTTCCTGATGAAACTGAGGTCCTGGGCCTTACCACATCACCGTTTGTGCTGATGGCACCTTTTAATATAAATTTTTAAGTAATTTATATATTTATTAAATAAGTCAGCAATTCACATGGTGAAAAATTCAAAAGATGCAAAAGAATGTACAGGAAAAGCCTTTTTCCCAGCCCTGTCTTTCAGTCACTCATTTCTCCCTTCAGAGGGAGTTAACATTACCAGTTTCTTGTATCCTTCTAAAGATAAACTCTGTGCAGGCACAAATTTATATTTTTGTTTCATTTTTTACACCAATAGTATCAAGTTACTGTTCTGTGGTGTGTATTAAAGAGCCATTCTTAGTATCATCTTATATCATTCTAGCCCCGTGTCTGAACTGACTGTGGATGTCACAAGTACGTTCGGTTGCAGTTTGATCACTCTGAATTCCGTTCATCCAGAATCCAGTTTGTGAGCCCTCTCTCAACAACTCTGCATTTCAGCTGTGTTGCTTCCAGCACTGGTCCCAGTCTCTCTAATTAGAAACCAGAATGATTGTTTTCTACTCTCTGTTCTGTAAAGACGGATCAATACAGACTAAGTCTTTAGATTACTCTCCTATTGAAATCTCTTATATCTATTTTATTTTAGATTTACCTTCATAGTTCAAGCCATTATCACTTCACAGTTTCCTAACTAATTTCCCTCCTCTCATCTTCCTTCCATGACCACATTGATCCTTTTTAAATTTTAGTTTTGATCAAACTTATACATGCAAATAGTTTGAAACTAATTTGTTGTCTGCTTCCAAAAAACTACGGCCTCAGGCCAGGCGCTGTGACTCATGCCTGTAATCCCAGCCCTTTGGGTAGCTGAGGCTAACACTTGAGGTCAGGTGTTCTAGACCAGCCTGGGCAACATGATGAAACCCTGTCTCTACTAAAAATACAAAAATTAGCCAGGCATGGTGGCCACTTGCCTATAATCCCAGCTATTCAGGCGGCCGAGGCATGAGAATCTCTTGAACCTGGGAGACGGAGGTTGCAGTGAGCCGAGATTGTACCACTGCACTCCAGCCTGGGCAATGGAGTGAGATTACATCTCAAAAACAAACAAACAAACACACAAAAAACTAGAGCCTCTGTTATTACTTCCTTAACGTTTATCACTTCTTCCCAGAGTCTTCACTTTCAATTCTTAGTTGTTGTTTTGTTGGGGCAGAGGAGTCAGGAGAGACTTACTATTTGCTTTCTTATTTTTTTTTTATTATTACTTTTTTTGAGATGGAGTCTTGCTGTGTTGCCCAGGCTGGAATGCAGGTGGCATAATCCCTCGGCTCACTGCAACCTCCGCTTCCCAGGTTCAAGTGATTCTCCTGCCTCAGCCTCCCAAGTAGCTGGGATTATAGGCACCTGCCACCATGCCTAGCTAGTTGTTTTTTTTTTTTTTTTTAGTAGAGACAGAGTTTCACCATGTTGGCCAGGCTGGTCTCGAAATCCTGACCTCAAGTGATCCACCTGCCCCAGCCTCCCAAAGTGCTGGGATTACAGGCACGAGCCACTGCACCCGGCCTGCTTTTTTATTTTTAAAAAGCTTATATTATTCTTTCATAAGGTTTGAATTTCAGATGTTAGCTGTTGACTTTAGAAAATAAGAATTTAGTTGGTTCACCTCCTCCTCTTGCTGTGTTCACTTCCTATTTCCCCATCATAGACTTCTTGTTTCCCCTTCCCCCGTTGGTGATTATGGATCAACATGTGTTCACTGTTTATGTTACCATGACTATGCAAACGTGGCGCCTGGTAGCACGCAATGATTACCTCCCTATTCTCCCCAGTATTTCATTTTCTCTAGATTTAATATCTTGTTTTTTCATGAAGTTAGTTTTCTTTGTATTTAGCACTAATTTAATTCTAAGCTGTTCTCCCAGTTGGGCTCATCTCCTTTCAGTACAACCAGATACCTGAGGTGTTCTATCCATTTCATCTTGGGGAAATCTCTTGGGAACATTTCTGGCCTGTGCTCATCTCGGCTGTGTAATCCTATGTTGACAGCACAGCTGGCATCTTGGGATCTCGAGTCAGGATCATCCTGGAGGTCCCGCTGGGATCTCAAGTTAGGGTCATCCTGGAGGTTCTCTGGTCCCTCTGTCTCTCTCATATTGGATCCCCTACTTTGTGGATTTTGTGTCGTATTCTTTTTTGGATTTCTTTTTAATTTTAATGGAACATATCTTCTAGTGGAGATTTGAGGAGGATGTGACAGAGAACAGCGTTGAGACTTGCATGTCTGAAAGCATCACTGTTCTACTGTGACGCCTGCTGATAGCGTGGGAAGGTGGGACTTCACCTGCTTCACCTCTGCCCTCAGGGTCTTCAGCTAGGCCTGAGAATGAAGTAGACATAAGCCCGATGAACAGGAGGAAAACACACATTTATTTAATCTAAGTTTTACATGACACAGGAGCCCTCATGAGTGAATGAAAACTCAAAGAAGTGGTAAAACCTATATACTTTTATACTACGTTGAACAAAGGGAGACAGTTATGGAAAAGTAAAATGTATGGGGAGGCTAAAGGAAGCTAAGAATTATTTTAAGAAGGTCTGTTTGTACCAAGTTCTTTGGCTTTGACTCCCTATATTGGTGATAAGAAGGTTTCTTTTCTCCTGGAAAAGGAAGGACATTATTCATGTGGGAGTTTCATCTCCTGCTTTCAGGAGGAAAGGGGGAGGTCAGAACAGTGTCGTTGGGTCTGCTGTGTTTAAGTCCCTTTAGCTGGAAACCTTTGTGCCAAAATAGCATATTTTGGAGTGGTGTGTTCTGCCATCCTTCAACAGCTTGAGTGGGTGTAGCTTTCTTTTTGAAAATTATTTTCCTAATGAATGATTGGATGCAGGAAAAAAAAAGAAAATTATTTTCCATCAGAATTCTGAGAGGATTTTTCCTTTGTATCCTAAGTCTCAATGTCATTCTGAGTTTCGATTGCCAGAATCTTTCTTCTTTCTTCTCTGGAAGCTGGTAAATTCTTAATTTTAGCTTCGCATACCACATCCCCACCTGCCACAAGCCCCAGTATTCCAAAATTTAATGGGTTGATTCTATTTTTGGTGATCATTAACAGCCTGTTCATATTCAAGAAGTGGCTGGGGCCTGGCACAGTGGCTCACGCCTGTAATCCCAGCACTTTGGGAGGCCGAGACGGGCGGATCACTTGAGGTCAAGAGTTTGAGAGCAGCCTGGCCAACATGGTGAAACCCCTCATCTACTAAAAATACAAAAATTAGCCCGGTGTGGTGGTGGGCACCTGTAATCCCAGCTACACAGGAAAAAAAACAAAAAAGAAAAAAGAAAAAAGAAGTGGCTGGCAGGCAGTTTAGAAGCTCTGAGCACACATAGGGCTTGCTGACTGTGGTCTTCACTATAGGGCTCCTTCCTTACAAAACCTTTGGTATCTGTGTCTTGAGGGGTTTCCCTTTTGACTGGTCAGATTTGTCAGAAACTACCAGTCTCCGGCCTGAAGTTGATATGTTGTGAGAGTTCTAGGAAGTAAGTCAATTTCGAATGCTAAGTAGTCTCAATATTTAACCTGTAAACTTAAGAGTCCTTATTTTCATGATGGCAGCCCAGCTCTCACCTGTACTTAGTTTCCCCCAGAACAGAAAAAAATAAATCTCTATGTTTTTTTACCCTTTCCAAAAAATAAATCTCTATGATTCTGCAGAATACGAGAAGCCTAGTGCTGGCATGGGCTTCTGGTGATGTTTCAGGAAGCCTACAATCATGGCAGAATGCAAAATGGGAGCAGACATATCACATAGAGAGGGAACAAGAGAGGAGGGAGGTCCCGATCTCTTGAACAAGCAGATCTCTGGGGAATTTATTCCCGTGGGGAGGGCACCAAGCTATTCATGAGGGATCCATCCCCGTGACGCAAACACCTCCCACTAGGCCCCACCTCCAGCACTGGGAATCACATCTCAGCAGAAGATTGGAGTGGACGAATACCCAAACTATATCAGCTGGGTTCAGAGCAAACAGTGGTCCAGGTGAGGAAGAGGAATGCTGGGGTCTGCTTCTGAAATGGACTTTTATCTGATCCTTGTAATTGTAGCTCTTACTTCTTGGCACCGGGTGCGGGTGTGGCGGTCCTGAGCCTTCTTTGTGTTCTGCAAATCAGTTTCTTCCTGGTTCTTCCTGCTGCTGGATTTTGACTCAGCTTTCCTGAGTCTATTATGTCTGCTACTACTTGTACATCTACCCTCCTGCCCACGCTTAATTCCCAGAATTCCACAATGAGAATACTTCATCTTCAGCAAGGGAGATTTCCTCTTGTCCTATCAACACTCTCATGTAATTCTCATCTCTAAGCCATGTGCATTCTGCTTCCCAGCCTGTAATATCTGCCCTACGGTGATCCATGATCCAAATCCTGGGTACATCCTTAGGATACAAATGCTTTCTTCCATGAAACTTTCTAATATTTGTTCTTGTTTCTACCATTTATTGACTCTTAATCATAAAATAGTCTGGTACTATTCAGTTTTTGCTTTTTCTTCTAATTTCAAAATACTGTTAGTATTTTATTTAAAAAGTATTATTATTTTTATTGTCTTTTTTTTTGAGATGGAGTCTCACTCTGTCACCCAGGCTGGAGTGCAGTGATGGGATCTCAGCTCACTGCAACCTTTGCCTCCTGTGTTCAAGTGATTTTATGCCTCAGCCACTTGAGTAGCTGGGACTACAGGCGCCCACCAATTTTAGCGCCAAATTAGCGCCTGGCTCATTTTTGTGTTTTTAGTAGAGATGGGGTTTCGCTAGGTTGGCCAGGCTGGTCTCGCACTCTTGACCTCAGGTGATCCACCTGCCTTGGTGTCCCACAGTGCTGGGATTAATAATCAGGCATGAACCACGGTGCCCAGCTGAAAAAAAAAAATTTGTATCCTACTCATCTTTCCTCAATGGAAACTGCTAGAGGGCAGGCACTGTATCATGTACTTTTTTAGTATCCTTTTCAGCACCAAGCACAGTGCTCGACCAAGTCTCACTTTAAAGAATAATGACGTTGCACTGTAGCTGTGTTGATGTTTACTTGATGTGGATCACTGAAAGACAGACTTATAGAAGAGGTCACACTTCATTGTTTGTTTTTGTGAAAAACAAATTTTCAAAAGAGTGATATATTTCAACTTAACTGATGATAGAGTTATTTCAAAATGACTTCAAATATACTTTTGAACTCTTCTTTTGAAATTATATTTAGAAGTAGTTTGTCACCTAAGGAAATCAATCTTAGTAATTTTGTGTCACACCTTGTATGTACCAGTTTAGTCAACTACCTTTACTGGACTTGGTTCTGGGCAACTTTGGGCTATTTCCAAAAATTATATCTACTTGCCACGTAAAAATTTGCTACCATCAGACAGGTTCAGAAGCATGCACTGACTTTGAAGATAGTTCCAAGAGAGAAGTTTCAGAAGTATTTAAAGGGAAGTAGCATAATTGAATGTGAAGTCTTTGTAGAAAACAACTTTGAGGGTTTTTTTTAAATAGTTAAATTTTTAGCTGGGTGCAGTGGCTCATGCCTGAAATCTCAGCACTTTGGGAGGCCAGGGTGGATGGATAACTTGAGTCTAGAAGTTCGAGACCAGCCTGGGCAACATGACAAAACCCAAACCCCATTTCTACAAGAAAATATAAAAATCAGCCCGGCATAGTGGCACATGCCTGTGGTCCCGGCTACTCAGGAGGCTGAGGTGGGGGATCACCTGAGCCCGAGGTAGTCAAAGCTACAGTGAGCCAAAATCACCACTGTATTCCAGCCTGGGCAACAGAGTGAGACCTGTCTCAAAAAAAAAAAGAAAAAAACTCGGTGTGTGTAAAAGCTCTGTGTGTGTGCCCCCTTGTAATTTTTGGGAAAAGTGTCCATAGCTTGCATCAGATTCTTTAAAAGGTGCTAGATTCAAAGTTTAAGAACTCCTGCCACACAGAGTGTAATTCTTTTAGGACCTAAATAACTTAACCCTCTTTTTTTTTTGAGACGGAGTCTTACTCTGTTGCCAGGCTGGAGTGCAGTGGCGCGATCTCGGCTCACTGTAATGTCTGCCTCCCAGGATCAGGTGATTCTCCTGCCTAAGCCTCCTGAGTAGCTGGGACTACAGGTGCCCGCCACCACACCCAGCTAATTTTTGTATTTTTAGTAGAGACAGGGTTTCACCATGTTGGCCAGGATGGTCTCGATCTCTTGACCTCATGATCTGCCTGCGTCAGCCTCCCGAAGTGTGGGATTACAGGTGTGAGCCACCGCGCCTGGCCAACTTAACTCTTTATATGAGGTTAAAGATATGCCCACACTGCAAATTGTGCTTTATTCCCAACGTTTTTTGTAAATTTTAATGTATTTTCCTGTAGTTGAAGGAGAAATCTCTTAGACTCTTACTGACCTGATATTTATTATTTTTATATATTTTTTCCTGTTTGAAGGTTTCTTGTTCTCCTCAAGGTCTGAAAGTTTGGGTCCAAGATACTTCATATTTGTGTAGTCGGGCTGGGCAGGTCCTCCCCATCAGTATCCAGATGAATGGCTGGATTCATGATGGAAACCTACTCTGCCCATCGTGTTGGGACTTCTGTGAGCTCTGTCCTCCAGAAACAGATCCTCCAGCTACTAACTTGACCCGAGCTCTGCCACTGGGTGAGTGCTCTCTATGGTTGGAATAAAGAGGGAAAAGTAAAGGGGCAAACTTCTCTTATAAAATGTTGGCATCCCTTCAAGGAAGCTCTAAAACAAGTTGAGTTTCTTCCCTTCTGATTGCATTTTTATGGGAAAATCCTCCTTCCCACCATTATTAGAAATCTAAGATAGGTCAGCTTGACACTTGTGAGTAAGAGCAAGGCTTTCTGGTGAAGAACCTCTGAGTTGCACAAAATTATTCATCAAAGACCACAAAAAGTGAACGTTGTATCCATTCATTTGGAAATTAAGGGTAAACAAAATGCTGCTCATTAAATACAAAAAGTGATTAAATATATTTTAGTCATATCATAATCAGCTGAAGTGAAAGTGAGGGAAAGATCTGGAAAAGATACTCAAAAAAGGAATTGGCATGCCTACAAAGGAGAAAAATGCAAGGAGGCACAAATAACCCACATGCAAAATGAGACACGAAGACATGGGCTGGCAAAGACCGGGGGTTCACTGAGGAATAGGATCGTGTGCTCGTTCTGAGACTCCAGAGAATGGAACTGGCACCAAGCGATTGAAGCTGTGAGGAGACAGATGCCAATTAAACCCTTTAGAAGCAGGAGGGGATGCAGAAGACACCCTTGAGAAGAATCGTTCCCCCTGAAATTGACGGTGTTCCAACTGAGGCTGATAGCGCATTGCTGAGAGTGTAAAAGCAGAATTCATGAATTCACAGAGTTTTGATTTAAATGACCTATGAGATTTTTATGGCAGTTTGACATTTCAGATTATGAACAATAAAAATCTTATGCAGTGTTGGCTGGGCGCGGTGGCTCACGCCTGTGATCCCAGCACTTTGGGAGGCTGAGGCAGGCGGATCACGAGGTTGACACCATCCTAGCTAACATGGTGAAACCCCGTCTCTACTAAAAAAATACAAAAAATTAGCCAGGCGTGGTGGTGGGCGCCTGTAGTCCCAGCTACTCGGGAGGCTGAGGCAGGAGAATCACTTGAACCCAGGAGGCGGAGCCAAGATCACACCACTGCACTCCAGCCTGGGCAATAGAATGAGACTCTGTCTCAAAATGAATGAATAAATAAAAGCTCATCTTTATTGTTTAAAATATTTAAAAGGACAACTCATCCTAAAATAAGGTCAGGTTGGCCTCATCTCCCTACTGCTATAAAAATGTTTCCATTATGAGAACTGTTTTTACCTATGAGGACATATCATGGCTGAATTAAAATATACCTCTAGTGCCCCAAATCTGTAGAATCTTCTGCTGTTTCAAAACAAGTCAGATTGATTGGTGATATGAATGGATAGGTAGATATTTAGAAACATGGGATCGTATGTCCTGGTCTGGCTGAGACCATCCATATGCCTGTTGTCATTATTAATAGTCCTCTCCCTCGCATCCTCGCGGTCCGTCTGCCTGTCGTCATTATTGAGAGTCCTCTCCCTTGCATGCTCGCAGTCCGTCTGCCTGTTGTCATTATTAATAGTCCTCTCCCTTGCATCCTCGCAGTCCGTCTGCCTGTTGTCATTATTAATAGTCCTCTCCTATGCATCCTCAGAGTGCCAGTCGCCTGTTTGTTCCCCTATTAAGAGTCCTCTCACCTTTGCAAGTCCTCAACCTGTTCTGTCCTGCCTGTTTGGTTCCGTTGTTAATAGTTCCCTCTCCTCACAAGTTCGCGTTCTGCCTGTTGGTCATTTATTTAATAGCCCCTCTCCCATTGCCATGTCCGTCGCAGTCCGTCCCTGCTGTTTGTTCCCATTATTAATAGTCCCCTCTCCCGTTGCATCCTTCGCAGTCAGTCCTGCCTGTTGTCATTATTAAAGTCCCTCATCCCGTGCATCCTCGCAGTCTCCCGTCCCGTCTGCCCTGTTGTCCGCTATAAGAGTCCCTCCTCCCTTGCAAATCCTCACGTCCTTGATCTCCTGTTGTCCGTTGTAATAGTGCCCTCTCCCCATCAGTCCGTCTGCCCTGTTTGTTCCGTTATTTATAGGTCACCCCCTCCCCTTGCGTCTCCGCAGTTCCGTCTGCCTGGTCGTGAGTTAATACCCTTCCTCCCTTGCGTCCTCGCAGTCCGTCTGTCTGTCGTCGTCATTAATAGTCCTCTCCCTTGCATCCTCAAAATGTGCTAGTTTTGGTTGATAAATTATATCAACCAGCCTCCTTAGAAGGTACAAAGAAAAAATAAAAGAAGAAAGTTCTTCACCCCATCTCACAATAACCAAGATATTAATTTATTTTCCTGTGTATTATCTTTAGCTTTGCTGGGTTACTACCCCAAGGCAATTTTTTTGGGATACCATTTTTTATCCTTGGTATAGTGGATACATCATTTCTTCCTCCATATGTATGTTTCCTCCATTAAAAAAGAAACAAAAACTTTTTTATACCTGGGTTTTGCTCTTGATTTAGCTCTCAAGGTGGTCCTTGTTTACCTTTTAATAATCACTGCTATTCATCTGTCAATATTTAATTGGTATGATTTATCCCAAAAATGTTTATAGAAAGTCAGCTTTTTGTTTTCAACTCTAGATCTTTGCTCCTGTTCCTCAAGCCTGGTGGTCACCCTCTGGCTTCTGCTAGGCAATCTGTTTCCTCTACTGGCTGGATTTCTTCTGTGTGTATGGCATTAGGAATGGAAAAGTGGGTCTTCAAGATATCCTTTTATGTTATGTTCATGTGAACAAAGCACAAAGTTTGAGTGAGTGCCAGCCTATGCAGATGGCAGAAGTGGCATTCCTGAGTTTGGCTTAGAAGAGTTGACGACCATCAGACCTTAAAGCAGAACTTCACAGCTGCCTGTCCTCATCAGCAACCCAGCCACCTTCATCAGCAACCCGGCCACCTTCATCAGCAACCCGGCCACCTTCATCAGCAACCCGGCCACCTTCATCAGCAACCCGGCCACCTTCATCAGCAACCCAGCTACCTTCATCAGCAACCCAACCACCTCATCTTGGAGAAGGAGAAGGAACTGCAAGTCACTTAGGATTTGTAATCTTCCTAAAGTTTTCCTTTGAAAAAAGGATAATGGGTGGAATTTTCAGAGTGATTACATACCTCAACATTTTTATTAACATATAACAGTGGGAAAGTTCATCATCCATATACTGCAGTAACTTAAACAACAGCTAATTATTGCAAGATTAGAATTAGAGATCTTGTCCTTAAAAGTATAAATTGTCCTTTGATTTATAGAAAATAATTGAATTGGGATTTCTACATATCATTATTATACCTATTTTAAATGTAATGGCAGCTGGGCATGGTGGTGCATGCCTGTAGTTCCAGCTACTTGGGAGGCTGAGGCAGGAGGATCGCTTGAGCCCAGGAGTTCGAGGCTGCAATGAGCTATGATTGCACCGCTGTATTCCAGCCTGAGCAATAGAGTGAGACCCTGTATCTTTAAGAAAAAAAAATTAATGGCTGTATATAGTAAATTAATTCACTGTTCCCATTGTTTATTCTAAAGAATTTTTTTTAAATGTTTCATTAAATCTTATGATTTAACCATGTTTGCCCTTTTTGCCAGCTGTGTGGCAGTTTATGGCAGAACTGCTGTCAGTGTGCTGGTAGCCATCTATTCATTCCTTTTCAGAGCTCAGCTTCCAGAACTGCTATCAGTGTGCTGGTAGCCCTCTGTATTCATCCCTCTTCAGAGCTCAGCTTCCAGTTGTATTCTTCATGAGTTTGATAATGACATGAAAAAATGTGGAAACAGAGAGAGTAAAATACTCTGCCCGGTAAAAACATGGAAGACGTGCAAACAGAAAAAAACATAATTGTATTTTTTTGATAATACTTAAGACAATTGTGATCCAACAAAAACAGAACTATTCCTTTGTGACCGATGAAGATAAGAAATTCTGGCAGACAGGTATGCAATTTTTTAAAGTGGTTTAAGAAATTATTGCAGAAGAATTTCCAACATCTGAAAATGGTTTTATGTATAAGAAGGAAAATACAAGTTAAAACGAGATGGTCTGAATTGTGTACTAATAGCAAGGTACAAGTTTGGATAGAGCCTATCCAGTAGCATCCACTGTACCACTTTAAGTAGGACTCAGTCCACAGAAGCTGGAATATTGCCTTTGCTTTAAATATCCTTTACCTCCTGCATTTGACACTCCTGCTATTACTGGTAACATAGATTCCAGTCACCAGAAGTAATTTTACACTGGTAATAGAGCTTACCAGCCCCATTTAGTAATTCCTATTTGAAATTTCTTAATGTTCAGATGAGGTTTAACAAGAATATGAAAAGAAAAAAATATATATTCATGAATGATAGGCGATGCCCATTGTTTCTCTCAAGCTAATGAAGTCCTGCGGCATTGTAATCACAACCCTTGGACAGACTCCTATTCCTCCATGGCATTGTAACCGCAACCCTCGGACAGACTCCTCCTATTCCTCCATGGCGTTGTAACCACAGCCTTCGGACAGACTCCTATTCCTCCATGTCATTATAATCACAACCCTCAGACAGACTCCTTCTATTCCTCCATGGCATTTTAAACACAACCCTCAGACAGACTCCTCCTGTTTCTCCATGGCATTGTAACCACAACCCTCGGACAGACTTCTATTCCTCCATAGTATTGTAACCACAACCCTCAGACAGACTCCTTCTATTCCTCAATGGCGTTGTAACCACAACCCTTGGACAGACTCCTTCTATTCCTCCATGGCATTGTAAACACAACCCTCGGACAGACTCCTTCTATTCCTTCATGGCATTGTAACCACAGCCCTCTGACAGACTCCTATTCCTCCATGGTGTTGTAAACACAACCCTCGGACAGACTCCTGTTCCTCCATGGCATTGTAACCACAACCCTCGGACAGACTCCTCCTGTTCCTCCATGTCGTTGTAACCACAACCTCGGACAGACTACTCCTATTCCTCCATGACATTGTAAACACAACACTCAGACAGACTCCTATTCCTCCATGGCGTTGTAACCACAACCCTCGGACAGACTCCTCCTGTTCCTCCATGTCGTCGTAACCACAACCTCGGACAGACTACTCCTATTCCTCCATGACATTGTAAACACAACACTCCGACAGACTCCTATTCCTCCATGGTGTTGTAACCACAACCCTCGGACAGACTCCTCCTGTTCCTCCATGGCATTGTAACCACAACCTTGGACAGACTCCTCTTATTCCTCCATGACATTGTAAACACAACACTCAGACAGACTCCTATTCCTCCATGGCGTTGTAACCACAGCCCTCGGACAGACTGCTATTCCTCCATGGCATTGTAAACACAACCCTCGGACAGACTCCTTCTATTCCTCCGTGGCATTGTAACCACAGCCCTCGGACAGACTCCTCCTATTCCTCCATGGCGTTGTAACCACAACCCTTGGACAGACTCCTCCTGTTCCTCCATGGCATTGTAACCACAACCCTCGGACAGACTCCTATTCCTCCATGGCATTGTAACTACAACCCTTCGACAGACTGCTTCTCTTCCTCCATGGTATTGTAACCACAACCCTTGGACAGACTCCTCCTATTCCTCCATGGTATTGTAACCACAACCCTTGGACAGACTCCTCCTATTCCTCCCTTCGGACAGACTCCTATTCCTCCATGGCGTTGTAACCACAGAACCCTTGGACAGACTCCTCCTATTCCTCCATGGTATTGTAACCACAACCCTTGGACAGACTCCTCCTATTCCTCCATGGTATTGTAACCACAACTCTCAGACAGACTCCTTATACTCCTCCTTTTCTCGTCTTTCCCTCCTTTTCGTCCATTCAGCATGTAGCTATTCAGTACTCCATTGAAGAAATTGTGCTAAGTGAGCAAAGCAGCATAATTACTAAGAATTAATTCTGATTATTTGGCATTAGAGCCTACAGCAACCCCAGCATAGAGGAAAGTCGCTTTTTTTCAGATGCATAAATTTAAAGTATATATTTGCATGCGGTTTTAAATGGGAGGTATTTGTCATTGTGAAAAGGTGGGAATCTCAAACATAGTCAACTTAACTAAAAAGAAGCTAATACAGGTTGAGCATTCATAATCCAAAAATCCGGAATTCAAATTGCTCCAAAATCTGAAACTTTCTGAATGCTGACCTGATACCACAAGTGGAAAATTCCGCATATAAGTACTTAACACAAACTTTGTTTCATGCACAAACTACTAAAAATATTGCATAAAATTACCTTCAGGCAGTGTCTGTAGGTATGTATGAAACATGAATTTCATGTTTAGACTTGGGTCCCATGCCCCAGATACCTCATTAGGTATCTGTAAATATCCAGATTCCAAAAAAAGTCTGAAATCTGAAACACTTCTGGTCCCAAGCATTTCAGTAAGTGATGCTCAACCTGCATAATGGTCTGCGGGCCAGTGCTCATTTTCTGCATATGTTGTACACACTTTAAATTGTGCAAAGTCAAAGAAAAGCAAAGAGTCTATTTTTAAAGAAACTTACAATAATCTAAGCATATACTTATGATTATGAATCATCCTGCAAAGAGCTGTATAAAGAATTTTACCAAAAATACAATGAATTAATCATATATTTGAGAGTCGCAGTGATAGGTTTGACTATATTTTGACTGTTGTGTAGTGGCACCATTTAGGTAGTGTTGTTTCTGAGCATGGTGCTTTTTATACTTGAAATATATTTTTGCTTTATTTTTTATTGATATAATTATATTTGCACTAATGGCTTTCTGAAGAAAATATTATAGATGACTTTTTTGTATATATATTTATTAAGCTTGGAAACCTGGTATCCCAGTGTTTTCTCTGGACAAATGTGAAACTGGATAAACTATGGTGTCTAGATAAAGTATGGATAAAGTCTTGAGTTCCTCAGGGTAACTGTGTTGATATCTCCTGTCCTCTTCAGTAAGGCTTGAATATGATTACTGATCATTGATTCTGCATAGTGTATCCAGCAAGGCTTGGAAGGACACTGAACCTGTCAGAGATTTTAAGAGGCACATTTTAGTCACTTCGAATATGATAGTGGCGGGTGCGGTGACTCATGCCTGTAATCCCAACACTTTGGGAGGCCGAGGCGGGTGGATCACTAGGTCAGGAGTTTGAGGTTACAGTGAGCTTGATCACACCACTGCACTGTACAGCCTGGATGACAGAGGGAGACTCTTTCTTGGGGAAAAAAAAGATGACAGTGAAGCAGACTTTTAGAATCCGAGATGTCATTGCAGCATTATTGGTATAAAATTCAGCTGCAAAGTGGAGAGTTTGAAATGGCCCATGCGTTGGTATCCTGTGGCAGGTTATACCTTCATGTTAGCAAAGACAAAGCCATGTCTCTGTAAGAGGGACAGACTGGGCTGGCTGCAGCTGTAGTGGAAGTGAGGGATGCAGGGAAGGAATGGGGAGCAGCAATTTGGGGACAGTAGACTGGAGTCACTTTCTGATTCAAAAAGGGTCAAGTACTTATAAAAACTGACTACTTTGGTTTTCAGTTCAGACTTAGGCTCATTTTGATCATTTTAAGGTCCCAGTTGTCAAAAATATCAAGTGAATTTGTCTCAGGTTTTCAGGAACAAAATTTACAGGAAGGAAGCAAAAGCCATGTCAGTAGCCTTGAGCTGACAGCTTTAAAGAAACTGGCAAACAGGTAGGTCGTCCTAATATAGATCCTTCCAGTATTCTCCTGAAAAAATCCTTTTATTTCTTAAAACCAGTAACCCTTACATTTTTCCTATAGGATGCTTATTTTTCTTGAGACCAAATAGACATTCTATAAATGTTATGAATTATGCTTGCAGTTAGTTTTTAGCCTATCTAGGCTTAAGGTTTATCGATATTTGAAGTTGAAACATCATTTTATGAGGTTTAGTTTTAGGAAGATAAATAAATAAATATATCAAAGTATTCCATAATGTTGTATCAGTGTCCCCTCTAACATTAGAAGACTTACTGACTGAGGCCATCTGTGAACGACTAAGCGATCTCTCAGAATCCTTCCAGCCCTATAGCCTGTGACTAACACTCATCCAGAATTGCTGTCTGTGCTGGCTGTGGTCTGCCTCCAGGAGCATATGCCATCCTGCATGCTGTGTTCGTCACAGTGTCTGTGCTCGGTGCCTTACCACTGTCCATGTCCTTGGATGCTAAATGGACAGAGAGGAGCCTGTCTCTCAGGGCACATGAGTGGTCATGGCAGGAGGAGACAGGCCTCAGTCACAGTGGACACTCGTCATTCCTGCCATGTCCTTGCAGCCCAGGAGGACTAACAAGATTTTAATGAAGTCTGTGTTACTCATTCTGAAGAAAAGAACTTACCTGAGAGGAAGAATATTTTTTAAATATATATTAGATTGGGGATGGGGAGGGAGTGGTTGTTCTCTTTTGTGTTTACATTTTTAATAACTAAAATAGAAGATTTAAGAATATTTATGGTATTGAACTTTAAGTGTAATATGTTTCTTAGAAAAAGACAACTTTAATAAAAATGGAAACTAATTTGCATCCTGTCTTTTTTTAATACTATCAGTTTTTGTTTGTTTTTGTTTTGTTTTGTTTTGTTTTTTTGAGACGGAGTCTTGCTCTGTCGCCCAGGCTGGAGTGCAGTGGTGCAATCTCGGCTCCCTGCAGGCTCCGCCTCCTGGGTTCATGCCATTCTCCTGCCTCAGCCTCCCGAGTAGCTGGGACCAGAGGTGCCCGCTAATTTTTTGTATTTTTAGTAGAGACGGGGTTTCACTGTGTTAACCAGGGTGGTCTCAATCTCCTGACCTTGTGATCCACCCGCCTTGGCCTCCCAAAGTGCTGGGATTACAGGCTTGAGCCACCGCGCCCGGCCAATACATTGTGTTTTTAAAGTTGTACAGACTGCATATAAGTGGCTGAAACTATACACAATAAATTACTTCAGATAAATACAATATTATTTGCCCAGCATATTGAAGATAAAGCTGTATCTCATGTATGACTTTGTTTACACTACTTTTGGATATGTCCATAGAATATAGTTTATTTTAGGGGGCATTATTACATAAATTAGTCTTTTGTTCACAACCTCAGCAGTAGTTATGCAGAAATGGAGGGGTTTATTTAAATTACCTTTGTTGGGATGCCATTAGAAGTTTATTTTTTTAAATGTTCAAAATAAAATAGGGAGATGGGTCCAAATATGTGATTCAAATATTTGTCCAAATATTCTGATAGTCAATACTTTTTCCATTTTATATTACGGAAATATTTTGATGCCTATAGATGTTATGTCTTAGATACAAAATCATTGTAATGCTCAG